AACAGTAAGTAATACTGTAATGGATTAAATAAATGTCTATTACATTAAAAAAAATATTAATTATAATTTTAAGTTTGCTAACATAGATGGGACAACAGCATTCAGTAAAAAAGTTTGTTTATTTATATAATATTTCTAAAACTTATGTTTCAATATTATTTTTTTATTAATATTTTTGTATCCATATACAATTTTATTTATACTTTATGATAAATATTACTTACTTCTTTTATTACATGTCAATTTTATCATTTAATATAATTTGCCATATAACCTAAAACTCTATAAAACTGTTATGTTACACTTTAACATTAAAATCTATAAGAATGTATTTATTTATCACACAATTTATAAATTCTTTAAAATTTTATACATAAGTAAATCAGTGGTAAATATGTGAATTTGTGTATATGCATTAACAATAAGTGAATTTTGTATATTTAAATTTATTAGTTTTCTAAAAAATAACTACATCTATATGCATTCATTCTTTTACTATTATCCTTATTTACAAACATCAATTGTTACAAATTACCTATACTCATTAGATGAATGTATTATACGTTATACTAATATTTTTAATTATAACTAATTATATACCAATAAATCGTTTGATTTTTAAATTCTAAACAGTTTTATAAGATCATCAAATAAACAACCTTTCGATATTTTAGTGATTTATATTATTAATATCAGTAAAATTATTATTAATTAGAAATATATTTTTTTAACTTACGTTCTAGACTAAATTAGTATCACTCTTTGTTGATTACGTATTGTAACTTCGTGAACTCATTAAAAAATTTTTAAATTATTTTTGTAAAAATATCGATAAAAATTAACAATATATTTCATACAATATTAGTCGTTTATATTTGTTTGGAATTCCAGCCACCAGATTGACCGCAGAGCAAGGTGGATGGATTAGACCCCACTACCGGTTTAATGGCGATGGGTGGGGGGAATGAGTGAGAGGTTAATGCATGAATTTAGTGTAAACACAATTATTTCTAGTGACTTTTATCTAAAGTTATATTACAGTGTTAGTTGGTGTTAGCGATCTTAGTTGAGAAGTTTTGAGCTCGTCGTGATTAGACAGTTGACCATGAGTTATAAAGCGTCGTCCACAGGCTAGAGGTGTGTTGGTAGTACTGGGCACGCAGTTTAGTCCCTACCTTGAAGGAGCATCTTCGACTTGCGAATCCGTAGGCAATTGATTCGGCAATGGCACAAGGCAAGAGCCTTGTCGGGTTTGCGACCAAGTCGCAGAGGCGTGACCGATAATATCGACGCTGTGCCGCAGTAATTAGTGTGTCGCGGGAGCCACCAGATAGTATCGGCGCCCTCTTTAGCGATCTGATAATAATCAAGTTGCAAGGGCCTGACTGATAGTGTTAGCGCTGAGCCGCAAAGTATAATATGTAATATCGAGAAATGGCTGGAGATGCCAGTCTATGTCGTCACCCTTAATGCGATATGACTATTGTCCCGTAGCACCAATAGCTGGCCAGCAATGTAGAATAAATAATGTAAATAATGAGTATATCTTGCACGGATTCCCTTAGACGTGTATAACTTTCACTGCTATGACTGGCACTAATTTCACTTGATTTACTCAACAAGACTGATTTTCTTCGTCGTCTCGTGCTCCTTATATATTATAGCGTTGTAATTCTTGGAAGCTCTGATGAATTCTCAGAAAGCAAGCTTCAGTAGATTCGAGATTCTTCCTTTGCTGCTATCCGAATATAGCAAGAGGCTTAAATTTACATCGAGAATTTTCGTAACGAATAATTTAAATATTACGCCTTAATATAGATATAATGTATCAGAATCATATTATAATAAACAACAAATTTTTTATTGTTGGGTAGTTCAATCCTGAACAATATTATATACCAATTTTGTTAATAATTTAATATTTATTGTAATATTTTTAAATAACTACCGTTTATAATTCTTTTAATTTTGTGTAGCCTTTAAATAAGTACATTTTTCTTATTAGAATTTACACCAACAATTAAGGTAATATTAAGTTTTTATCTTAATATTGATGAATGAACATTTGCTAGGACGGGCGGCAAATATAAGCTATTGAAGCATTGGTGGTTCGAGCCAAGAAAATTACAACTTTCGAAGACTAGTTTATCAAGATTTCTATTAATTAGATTTATGTTTATATACAAATGTATTCATGAATTAGAACTTAATTTAAATACTCAGATGTAAAAAATTGACATTAACAATTAAGTTTTATTTAATACTTTTAATGTTCTTTTGTTAAATATTGGACATTAAAGTCGAAATTTCTTAAATCTTTATTCCTTCCAACAATGTCTATATCAAGTATATCATGTATGTCAAGTATCTATTACACTATATAAATAATCGATCCACTCTTTAGTTATATCAATAAATAAATATTTGTTACACATAAACAAATCAAGTTATAATAAAAAAAATTGAAAACAATTTATTTGAAAGGTTAATATAAAAGGTTGAATTTTCTTTTCTTTGAAATGTAATTTTTAATTAATAGTTCATGATGCATAATAAATTTTATATCAATACTCAAACAAAGAAAATACAGTACTTTTCATAAATTAACACTCATCGAAAAAATATAGAAGACTGTATTAGTATAAAGTCACTGTTACACAAAGCATTAGTTTAATAATTTCAAGTGATATATCTAAATTTACGAAAATGTTACTGTTTGAGAATGCGAGACCCTTTTTCAATACAATAAAACATCTGGCAAGCAACATCGTAAAATTCATATTAGGACTTCAAAACTTTCCTGCTCATAATTATTTCGCACTCGTGTCATAAAACATCTGGAAAACTCCAGTGAAACGTGCCTTTGCTTTCCAACACAGTGGAACTAATGGGTATATTACCGGGAAAAACCCTAAAGTAGATTCCGAACGAATATCAACCGATACATGAAGTATCGAGTACAAAACATTTCTTAAATTCATTGCAACCCAAAAATCTCGCACGTGCTACAACTTGCAATAGCCACACATCCGCTTACACCCTTCAAGACAATTCTTCTTGCATTGTTTTCTGTTTGAGTCACATCTGGTCGGTCGCGTCCGAAAATGACCACGCCCAAGAGGACCCTTCATCTATCCAAGTCCTAGAGAAGGGATAAGCGATCAAGAAGAGGTGACCAATAGCAAAAACTCCCGACTTCCGACACTTCTCTGATTAGCATATTTGGAAATAAGCTCGGAAGGAAGTGGAGATGAAGGTGTGCATAATCTATTGTGCTGCCTTAGAACGACCTCTGATTGGTTAATTAATAGAAGAAGGAGTTCCTAGCGGAGTGGGACCAGTGAAGCGTTTAAAATAGAAAAATGTAATGTACCACCACTTATTCTTTTCTAACACTTCGCGCACAATTGAAGGAAAAGTCACGACTTACTCTCACGGAGGAGGACCGGAGACACAAGTCGTTTAGCTGAATTTTAATAAGAAGTTCTTTCTAGGAGAGAAGATGCTCTAGGACAAGACCAGCTACAGACGGCACAGTGGCTTTTCAATCCCTCCAACTATAAGTTGTTCCCGCCACAGGTGGCGCACAACTTCGCATAACCTCTATTTAGGCTCTCTTACGACCTATATTTAGAGGCAACTGCAGTGTTGAGATAAAACACAATAATATTGCAGTGTTCAATCAGAGCACTACAATAACCATAACCTCAAGTGATAATATTCAATACATTATAACCTACTTCTTTTTATAGTAAAGCATAATCTCACCAGTTAGATGCAGCAAATAAGAAATTAATTATCCTCTAGTTCTCCAATAAATAGATATATATTAACACCACAAGATTATCAAGAAATATAAAAGTTTGTTTGTAATTTCACCTTAGTTAATTATTCCCACTTAAAAATGAAGTAAAATAATTGAAATAAACAGCAATAATAACGATATGTGTTAATTATTAAATCAGTGCATTAACCCTTTACTTGCCCAGCAACCCCACACATCCAGTGGATTTTTGTTCTAAGTTGATTTTTGCACGTTTGGCTGACGATTCAGATTGTGGAATTATTTTCTGAACAGTTACATTAAATACAAAACTAAAGATAATAAATATGAATATATTCTACCGTTTCTATTAAATAAAAACTAATGAATAATTAGTAACATTCATTTTTAATTACTAATAACAAAAATATAATAAAATTATTTAACACAATAAGATATTAATATATAAATTACAAAGTATGGTTAATTTTTAAAAAGTTTATATGTAAAAATGAATAGAATTTATCATATAGTTACTTAGAAATGCTTAATTTTTCCAAATATAAATCAACTAATTAAAAAGTAAACAAAATTATTAAGTATCAGAGAAAAAATTTTAATTTCTTAGTATTATTTATTTCTGTAATAGTTATCAATTATTGTACATATAATTTAGTGTAGTTTTTTTTAGTATTTTTCTTAAATATTAAATGGTATGATGGATTTCTCAATAACTCAACCTAATGCAAGAATAGCTGGTACCCTTAAAACTGCTACTTTAAATAATATAATCTTGTATATGCAGTTTTTTTTCATTTTATATCTAATTATATCTATATTTAACTGCTTTAACACATTTATTATCATTTAATTATTTGTAAATCTTTAAATATAGATAAATGTATAAATATTTTCAATACATGTATAAGTATTAAATAAATTTATAATAGTGAAAAAAAAATTAATATACAAATTAAGAATTTATTAATTATTAGAAACTAAATTGTTTCCATATGAAATTAAAAATAAATGTATTCTTTTATTTAAATCACACATAAAATGTAAACTAAATTGAAATATTAATTTAGTAGTGGTAATCATAAATTAAATGCTTTCTATGTAAATACATATACACAATTAATTCATATTTTTATAATTGTAAAAAATAATGGCACATTTTTACCATTTTATTGAAAATTTGAATATTTTATAAATTTGGTAATGTTATACATTAATTTTTTAATCTAACATTTAATTGTTGTTAATTCATTTGTAATTATAGTTACGTGTTTAAGAACTTATCATTTAATCAAAAATTAAATCTTCAAAATTTCCTTCTAATTCTATAATTGGTACTATTAAATTATCTTTTGACATTAGGCTATATTTTGTTACAAAAGCTGTAAATCTGAAAATTATAGTAATGTAAATAAATTTTTTTCGAAGGTTGTAAATCTGTAAATTATAGTCATGTAAATAAATTGCATAAATAATTAATTTAGAATTTATAGCTACCTACGACAGAGACGAGTTTCATGTTCAAATTCGTCAAATATTGCTCGATGATGAAAAAAAGTATGTGAAAAAATCCTATATACTCTTCTACAAACTGATCCAAGCTTTGCAACTGATGATTCTTTAATACTAACCCTATAAATATTTACATTAATATAAATATACAAAAATCAATTTTCATAAATACTTAAATAATTACCTGCTTGGAAAATATTTATTGCTATTTAATAAACACGCAGCACCATCTAACGTATGTCTAGTATAATCAATAGCAGGACATTCTTTTGGAGTTTTGTGTGCAGCACATAAAAAAATCCATTGTTCCGTTGCTGTCATCTGTGAGCATGTTTCAGGATGACATTCATCTTGCAATCGTACTGCTAAACCATTTAATTCCATACAAAATTGTCTAAGATGTTCATACTTCCAAACACCTTCATCCTGTCCTTCTGGCATATTCAGTATAAGTTTAACATTTGCTGCATCACTTCTAATTGTTTGTTGAATATACTGTTGAACAACTAAAACACTTTCCATTTGCTCGAAGGGTTCATCCGGCCATCTATTAAAATCCTACAAGTTATTATTTCTATTAAATATACATAATATATTTCATTAAATAAAAACTTTATAATTTTCAAATATTAATATCATTAATATTTTTTAATTGCTTAATTGAAATTTTCATTTATTTAAAACATATGTACATATATACATTATGTTCTAATGTAGCAATAAATACTTATGTTATTACTCTTATTTAATAATTTTTATCATAATTGTCTTATTATTACTCGAATCAATGTTCATTCTATGTATTTGGCATAATGTATATCGTTATAATGTTTTAATTTATAATTAATTTATACTGAATTTTAAAAGACGTTTAATTATTAATTATATTTAACAACCTCTGCTTTTGTTCCAGGTCTAGTTCTTCTTACAATCATATCTTCTGCCAACTTCATTTTTTGAAGTACATCTAAATCCACCACATTAATAAGAACAAACCATAAAGCATAAATGTCAAAAAGCCATGCATACATTTTTTTAGATTCTGCGTACTAATAATTTCATGATGATTGGTTATAAAATATGCAGCATTATTATTCTATTCTTATTTTAGGATAATAAATAATTTTTAAAAAATGATGACCAATCAAAACATAGCTCTGTGCAGATATTAGCAAACTTATTAATTTAGTATAATTCTGAAATGGTGTATTTAATTGTAAATAAAATGTAATTTGTAAAAAAACCGTTCATTTAATTTTTTCAAACTCATTTTTCAAACTTATATAATAGCAAAATCAAATAAAAAATCAATAATATTACATTAACAAAATATATTGTATATATATATATATATATATATATATATAGTTATAGATTTTTGTATTGGCGCGAACAATTTAAATTATAATATATATATATATTATGCGCGCGCAATATATATAATAATATATATATATATATATATATATATATATATATATATATATATATATATATATAGCTTATGTAGTATAGTATATGTTATAATAAATTTTGTTTATTTTTGCTTAATATATATTTTCCTGTATAATCTACACAACATATATATTATATATATTCTATATTAAAATATTGTGATATATTATTTTATATTACTAATAAATTTATTTATATTCAGGGAATATTAATATTTTTTTAATTATTATTATTAATTCTTTTTCATTGTATATAGTTTACGTATTATACTGAATCACCAGTGCATTCTACTGTATTTATTATTTTTTGTATGTTTTTTAGTTATAAATTAATTTAGATATTAGATTTTAATATCTACTATTATTATATTTCTATTAAGCAAATTCGTTATTATATTACACATTATTTCATTTTATTTATTATTTTCATAAATTTTTTTAAATACGTTATTTCAATTAAAATTATTTGTATTATATACAATTTTACCATGCATATTTTTTTTTTTATATTTAATGTTAGCGTGATCTCCAAATATATTATTTGTTTTATTTCTTTTTCTGTCTTATAGTGGTTATTTTTAATTTTAATGTAATATTACTTTTTTTAACATTTTTAACATCAGTTTCAACATACTGATATGTATAATTTTAATTTATTCTTTATTATTTTTGTTATTACAATTTTCATTATTATTTTCATTTTTTCTCATTATTTTTCAGAAATTTTTGATTATTCTCTAAGTGGTAATAATCATCCAAACTGGGTGCATTTTTGGATTCATTTTTCTCTTTTGATAAATTTTGATAATAGTTTTATTACTTTACTTTTTTACAAATTTACCATTTTGTTTTGTATTGTTCTCTTAATAGGTAAATGTTTATTAAGTTGTATAGTTTTGCATTAAGACCTACGTCATATATTTTATTATGTAATAATTAACCGAGTACCAAAAATTCCAGATGATTTTTATATTTCATATATTTTCTTCTATTTATATAAACACAATTGTATTATTTATTAGGTACTTATAAATACATAATTATGAATATAGATAATCATATATACATAATTGTAAAAAAATATTAGAAATATTTATTAATCTTTTATTTTTGCATTAACTTTAATAAACCTCAGTTATTTTAATGTTGCTTAAACTATAGATTTACAAATAAAGGTCACGAAAGGAATGCATCGAGTTTAAAATTTTCGTTCTAGTAATTTATATGATTGATTTCGTTTAGAAGTTTCTAAATATTTTTTTGTTATGTAATAGATTTAATATGTTATATATTTTGATGGATTGTGAGAAAATTATATTCAATTTATTATTATTTACCATTATTGAATACTATTATTTAATATTATTCATATATATATAACGAACAATAATGAAATAGTAAGATTTTTTATAACATGATATTCTAGCGAATTTATATATATATATATATATATATATTTAATTAATAAAGTTTTGTGAATGCATGTTTCATACTTATATTTTAGTTCATAAGTTTCTATTAATTTTTTTATCTTGCTGGCAAATTAATAGTCACGTTTTAATTGAAATATCATTTCTATTTGTGTTTCTTTAAGTTGGAAATAAATATTTATAATTTAATCGAAAAATTGGAAAAGATGATTCGGTGGATAAAATATAAGCTAAAGTATTTTACATTAATAATGAAACAAATCTTTAACGTAGATATTATATAACAATTAAAAAAAAGAATTAAAATACATGTATATATCATATCTACTGTGATACATGATTTTGATAAAAACAATATTTTTATAGAAATAGTTACTTTTATAGTTATTTTTATATGATGTATAGTGTACAATTTATGTATTCATGTAGTACATAGGGAAAGGATTAACATATAACTAAAAAGAATAAATTCTTAAATACATAAATTTGATTGTAAAATTTAAAATCTTAATTTTTATATATAAATATAATTTTTTAGTACTGCTTCGAATAAGTCAATCAATGGAAAATACATGTAAATACGTAAATGTTTTAATTGATAGAAATTATTACTTCAGTTTTATGACAAATCTTCTCAAATGATAAGCCTTATAAACAAATTCCACTATTATAAAAGACAATCATATACTGTAATATCAATTGCTGTATTTAAATAATATATTCCTTGAAAATTTATACATATGATTATTACGTATATTTTACACTATTAAATAATTTTTATTAAGATTAAATGCAAATATTAATATTTTAAATATTTATAACACTGTATTAAAATAATTCAAGTTATTTTCCAAAATAACTTTAAGGTTATATTTGATATAACCTATATATATAAATATGATTTAATATCATATAGTGCACTGAAGACTCAAATATTAATAATACAATATTTGACACAATCTTATTCCTCAAGATGAAATATAAATAAAATATTTTCATTTATAATCGATAAAATAAAAGATTTTAAAGTTTAATATCAAACCAATAATCAATTAAGATTCTTATGTAGATTTATTTATGTAGCTAATAAAAATTTTCTTGATGAAATAGTTTTATTTATATTTTGATCATACCGTTAATGCTATATAAATCAATTTATTAATGAAGTCTAGTTTACTAAATTGTTAATCTAGGCGGTAGGTCTTCACTCTTATATAAAAAATTAAAAATAATCAGTATAACTGATTATATCGACATTATCTTGTAGTAAGAATGAATTCAAATGTTGTATAAACTCCATGTGAAAGGAGCTATAATTATGCTTAAACTGTAATAAAATAAATTTTCATAAAAATAAACTTATTTGAAAAAGTTTTCTGTTAAAAAATTACAATTTGTTATAAATAAAGTAATTTTGTACGAATACATCTATGACTTTTCACATATATATATTTTTTATCAATTCAACTTACATTAAAATATCGTTCATTTTAAAGTTTATTAATTCAACATAAAAAATATTGATAATGTTGAATGTTTCTACAAATCTACAGGAGTATCTTAAAATAGTAGATAGTGATTTGAATAATAGTCTTATACTTTATAATTTTAATAACATTATGAATTGAAATTTGGTCTTGCTATTTTTAACGGTAAAAGGAGATATTTTTATTAATGAGTGTAAACACAACATATTTATTCCATTACAAATGAAGAATTTATTTATCAATCGTAGATTAAAAATATTGCCTTCATTTATTAAGAATTTGTGGATGCGGCGATGTTGATAGTAATTTTAACCACGTCTATCTCTTATTTATTAATTATTTATTATCGTAACGAAACATACTTTCTGAATATTCTTATGTTGGAAATAAATTTGAACATGCAATTTCTTACTGTTTCAATCCATACATTTTATAATTCTAAATTAATGCTTTTGTGATTAAAAAAATTACATTGATCATTATTAAGTCTACTTCTCCATTTACATTTTTTCATGTTAGGCCTTGTTAATTCATATATTAGTTGTTAATAAGTTAATCATATTCTTGGCATAAATAATGTTACTTGAGAAATAGATTGCTTACCAAACTACAATACTTACTTTTTAACAGAAATACTAAATATTATAAATCACTGATATCGAGTACTATTGAATTATTATTCATATGCTTATCAAATATTTAATACGATTATTTTGAATATATGCACAAATAAATAATTTCTCTTGATAAAATAAAAATATTGAGTTTTATTCCTTCAGTCTTGAAACTATGTGCAATAAGTTAAATTAAAAAAAAAAGTATATTTCATAGAATAGCTAGTCTTATTATTATTTACTTTAGAATTACATTTATTATTTTCCTTACCTTGTTTGCTCACAACAAATTTTCGTGATTCTAAACTGCCATTTATAGCAACTAAAATAACGTAGAACTAATAATGAATTAAAAGCATATAATCTATATTAATGGTAACAAATTTTAGTACTTGTGCCTTAATAAAAACAGTAAAAATAGAAACTATCTCAATTACTGTTTCAGACTTCTTTAAAAAAATGATTATTTATAAGGTAACTAAATGTAATTAAAATTATATATATATAGTATGAACAACTGAAAAATCAATAAATCAAAGAAAAAATGTTGTATTAACACTTAATAAATATACCTAAAATGGCACTTTACTTAATGTTATTTATTTATGATATATCCCCTTATTTAATGATTTGTAATATGTATTAAAATATATTAATAATAATGTTACATATTTTTAAACACATGTCAATATTTTATTACTGTACTAAAGTTATATTTCCTTTTTCATCCAATTTTTTTTATAAAAGAACTAAAAATTGATACTATATTGTTCACGTGAGATTTATATCTCGACACATTTTAAAAAATCTGCTTATATAATAGAAATATAGAAAAATTTTAATTATATATAGCGTATTAACGAATATAAAGTGATAACAGTGAAAAATTTAAGATATATATTAAAGATAAATAATTATCAGTTTTATTGCATCGAAAATTTCATTAATATATATTAATAAATTTTACTTTGTGGATACAATGTACATTAAGCTACAGTCAAAACCTTAATATCATTTTAAACTAGACTTTTCAAATACTACAAATACAAAAAATTATATACTTATTAAAAATTATTAAAACAAAACATCGATATTTTTAATTGTAGAAAACGTAAATAATATTATACAAAATTATCAATTATTATAATTTATTTCAATTGTAATCTATTAATTATAATTGGTTTTGGCCTTATACGAAAAATTATTTTTTGTCTAATTATTGTACTTAAAATATAGTATGGTTTATCACTGGAGAAATCATTGATTTTTTTTTGTAATATCACTATTGGTTTATCTAATAATATTTGTCGTCCTTCTAAAATGTTACTGCCAATTATTAAAATTACTTCATTATTATTTTTAAAGCACATTTCACCAATTGTGAAAGTTTTAATATTCTTTACGGATTGTAATTTTCCATGAAGTTCAATGGCTACCAAATTTATTGCTCCGTTCGACCTATAAAACCATTTATTAATATTGTAATAATATAAACAATTTTATATTTAAAACATTCATTTGTAAAATAAAAATATTTATTTATTTCATTGTTGCATCAGTTATGAAAATTAGTATTTCTTTACAATTTATTTTTTAATAGTTTTCTTAAATCATTTTAAATATTTGATGATTATTATATTAAATGTTGAAATAAAAATAATTTGTTTTATGCAATATACAAATAAAATATTCATTATTATTATCTATATATTTTCAGTTAAAATGGGAATTTTAATTAATGTATTTACCATTTTTATATGCAAATTGATAGATTACTATAATTTAAAAATTCTGATGACGATAAGCAATTAAATATAAAAGGCAATTATATATAATAATTGAATGGATGATTACATGAACAATAAGAATATAAATGTTTGTTTATTAAAAACAGGACTATTGATTTACCTGGTAAACTGTTTTTGGTAATCTTTTGGGAAGTTTGTATGTAGTGTAAAAAGTATAAACTGGAAAACATTTAATTTAGAAATTTTTAGAATGAAATATTTACTTTAATAAATTATTAAAAAATTGGTTTATGTGATTCGCTCTAGTGTATAAGGCTAACATTGATTATAATAATGATTATGGTATAAGTGTACTTGAGATACATAACAAGGATTTAAATAACAAATAAGGACAATATATAGATGGAATTGATGTTGATATACTATTCGAATAATTACATATAAATAAAATGAGAAATTACCACATTGGATAAACATTTGTTAGCAATATAAATTAAAAAAATTGGATGCAACGCTTAAATTCATTTATAATGATGCATCTAAATGTTTTGCTTCAAACTGAAAATATTTCTTGATTATATTATAGGTATACAAATTTTAGATAAGAACTCATTCTCAAAAAATATTTCAATATTTATAAAAAGGTATCTGATTACTTATATATTACTATTATGTTCAAATAAAATTTATTTTATATAATTCATTGCTTTTAAATTATTACACTATGAGAAAAAATAATTAAAATAGAAAATTTAAAAAAGATTAGAATCCATTAGCAAAAATTTCACGACAAAAGTACTGCAAATGATTGTATTCAATTAATTTTAATTGTGTAACTATTAGCTGTTTATGCTTTATATGAAACTTTTTACTCAAATAATGAATCGTACCATTAAAACATTACAATTTATATTAGTAGAGCAATCAAATAACAAAATATAAAAGTATAATATTAAAAAAAAAACCAATACTTTAAATATTTAATGATTTACTGAATATATAAAAGGCAAACATGCAAAATATAGCATAATTTAATCAACTTTTACTTATAAATTATAAATACTTAAATAAAAATACTATACAAATTAGTAAAAGTGAAATACATAATTTTTTAATAAATAATATTTATAACAAAAATTATAAGAATTATAAGAAAAGAAAAGTAATAATAGGAATTTTTATTATAGTAAAATATTATTTTAGTATTAATAATGATTTGTTTGGAATTATTAAAATTCTTTTCAAGATTAATTTTAAATAACTATTAATCTATCATATTTCTATCAAACTGAAAATGTTATTTTATAAAAAAAATACAATATACCAAGGAAACTATAATTTAATGAATTTAATTTAAAAAAATGTATACAATTCATAATATCGACACCAACAATTATTAAATATAATAATATAAATTTCTATATCACAAAAAGTATATGAAGTAGAAATTATCACAATTTTGTTATTATTTATAACTTTTAATATAATTTCAACATTTGTAATTATGTTAAGTTATATTGGATATCATAATAATTCTAAAATTTCTCACATTTACAAAAAAAATATTAAAACATTATTAATATGATATCAAATTAGAAATACCCAATATTTTTACCAACATTTTAAAATTTATAATCATTGTAAAATCCAATCCATTAACTTGTTTTTCACTTAGTATAGGTTTAGTTGTAAATAATATTCATTTACTATTTACAGTATACAGAATTGACTATCTTTACGAAATATAATTTATGAAATGTTTTCAAAATTAAATTTAATATGCTTCATAATAAAATGTGATAATATTTATAAATTTTTATAATTAATACAAAAATCGATTCCAGCCGTAAATATTTTGCACATGCGTAAATAACTGGGATCTATATACTTCTTAAATAATAAAATCATAAACAATTAATAAGCAATATTACATTCAATTTAGGTCTAGTATATTAAGCTCATATTTATTTTAATTTAATTTTAATTCTAATAATTAATTTTTATCATTTATTTACAAAGCTTTAATATGACATTATACTTAAATTCGTTTTTATAAAAATATATGTTTTAATCTTCAGAAAAGGTAGTACTGTTTTAATAAGATTTTTTCTAAATAAATTTTTTACTATTAACTTTTACAAAATATTTTGCATTATATTAAAATCTACCTACTATGTGCAAAATAATAGAAATTCCAACGATTAGTAAAATATAATAAACTTTATAAATTTTAATTTAATTAATTTTTCTCCTGAAGCAAAGTAAATATTTCCATGGTTGTAATTCAATTTAGATTTTATGCTCAGTCCAATTATTTACCAATGCCATTAATTATGAGAAGAAAGAATAACAATTATGGACTGGTGAAGTACTGGAGTTCTGCTTCTGTTATCTGAAAGACATTTAGTAACCAACATTCTTCATTTATAAAAATTATAAATAATTTAAAAAATGACTATACGTTGTATAAAATTCATAATTCGAATTAAAATTAATAACTTAGTTTATCTAATGTTTTAAACTAAAATTACTGCTAACTTATATGATACTGTTACTCTTTCCGCTCTTAATTAAAATCTATGATTTAACAGTTAAGTTTACATATTTTTTAAAAATTAAAGAAATTTAATATACATCATTTTCTATTCTTATTTTGTCAAAGAATTCTACTACCAAATCGATAATTTTTATTATTTTAAATAAGTTTACAAATTTGCTGATTCGCGATAAACAGAATTAAAAACTAAATCAATAATTTCTTAATTGTACCTAGATTTTGAATTAGCGAATTTATGCTTTAGCTACTCTTTATACATGATAGTTAGTTGGAAACTGAAAATAGATTTATACTTAATACTGAAATTCATTCAAATCGCACACAATTATGTATTATTTAAAACACAGAGTTTAATTATCGATTACTAAAAAACTCCATTTGCCTGTATTATTTAATTTAAATATATAATTGTGTTGTCAAACTTGCCTCAATAAATTTTTTATTTCTAAGAAATAAAATAAAAATTCCAGCTGTTGAATTTTAGTTATCAAAGAAAGTAAATATTTTCAATATTTCAAAAAGATATATTTGAATTAAAACAATGAATAGTTTAATAATTAATAATTAATACATAGTATACATTGTTTCCATAATCATTAGATCAAAAATATTTGTATGTAGTTTATATTTCAAGGTACAAATTAGAATTAAGCTATTTTAACTCATATTTGAGACACCTAAATGGGATTAAAATCTCGTAACCAATTTTTCTTAAGAATTTGAAGTCGGTTATGGATTTCAGACAACAGACTTGTAAGTTCTTCAAACGTAATCAGCATTTCTCCAATTGTGCGTCTCAAATGGAATTTCGTAGACTTCACTACTGCTTCCCATTTTACCCCCATGTGGGGTGCAGCTGGTGGGTTAAATTCCCATCGAACATTGTCTTGTGTTATCAGTGCTGCAAATTTATAACGTTCCTCTGAGCTTTGGGAGATTAATCTTTTTAGTTCCTTGTTCGCTCCTGCAAAGGTGGTACCACAATTTGAATGCAATGTGTGGCGGATGCCTATGCGGGAAGAGAATCTCTGATAAGTGGTGATGAATCCTTCTGTTAAGTAGTCGCTGGCCACGTCAAGGTGTACAGCAGATGTGGCAAAACATACAAAAACACAAATCCCAGTCTTTTGGGTCTTTACACCTCAGCTCTTCCATGTTTTCAATGTTAGAGGACCAGCATAATCTATACCCGTGTATGCAAATGGTTTTGATGGTGTTACTCGCAACACCGGTAATTGTCCCATCAACTGTTGAGCACGGATTCCCTTTTGTCGTGCATATGTAGTGTATCACAGAATGTGAGATTTTACAGCTTGTCGTTCTCCGATGTTGTTTTGCCAGATGTTTTATTGGCAAGAACCGTTCGTACAATCTCGAACAAATATACTTCCATAATTAAAGACTTTCCAATATTCAAATTCTAAAATAGTTTTACTATAGGTTAAAGAACATATTTTTTACTGTATTGAATATTGTATGAATATTATATAAATTGATATATAATTGAATCTCGGTCAATTACTTTATCACCAAAATAATGATATATAGAGTATCTTTTAAATAAACAGTAATAAAGTACGACTGAATTAAATCAAAATTTTATTTCATTTCAAAATAGTAAAAAGATTTGATATTAGTGTTTCTGTGCTTAACTGCTATAGTTTTTATTAATAATTATTCTTATTTAAGCAATAATGAAAAGTATAGAGCTTTTCAATTAGTCAAAGAATCAGATATTTTATATTTATGATTAATTAAAATGCTTTAACCTGGTCATATTGATCGTAAAACTACATTTCTAATATTTGTTATTTAAATTAATTATACGTTTTTGTTCGATTTTAAAGGTTTAGTTTATGGCTCGAACTGCCAATTGAATAGTTCAGTGAATTAGTTTTTCTTTAAGATAGCTTAAAAGGAAATAACAATTGGAAGGGTTGAAAAATATTATGTATTATGTAAAAATAATGTTTATTATTTGTTAACTTTAATAATATTGCAATGTTGTTGAGAGAGAAGATTATTTTATTGCAGTAATGCGGGTGTTTCTTTGTGTTCTTGATTATTGTAGATTATATGGATATTACTGTGTATCTTGAAAGTGGAGGTTATGTTGATGTAAACATTAGCCTATGTAGTTAATCATGCTTCTGAAGTAGCATGAGAAGATAGTGTTTGAATCAAGAATGCTTGATAGATGGACTCGTTGAGTTGTGTTTATAAACATTTGCCCGAGCGCGCGTGCCGTGCGCCGTACAGCGCGTGTGCCCTTCTTTGTCTTAAATTTGTGGAAACTGTGGCAATTCCGAACAGTTTTTAAAAAAGTTATCCAGATTCTGTTAAAACTCAGATAATCATAAACTTAGACAAATTAATATTATCAACACGATCACAATTCTCCTAAAAATGCGTTGTAGCATTATATTCTATGTAACTCACAATATAATTAAATATAAAGAATATTATTTATTACAAATTATATGTAATATAACTTATTTACGACAAACTACATGCATAAGAAATTATTTCATAAAAGTTTAATGTTCACGTCAAGTTGAAATGGCTAATAACATTATTAATTATAAGAACACTCATTTTACATGTAAAATATTTAAATTATTAGTCACAATATTGTTATGAATATTAGAAAAAAAAAATATGTGTATATATATGCATTGTGATGTATTTTGTCCATTAAGTAATTAATTTTTTTATGTATAGAATATTTATTTTTTATTTAAAGTTTTTAAATCTAAAAGATCCGAAGAGTTTTTTTTTATTTAATATTCAGAATATATACAATTAAATTGCTTTCAATATTATACATTATTTTCATCACCTATATATATTTCAATATTTTAATTACTTTCATGAGAGAATATTCAATTAATCTTGAATGAACTTCTATGATTGTATTTACAAAATTCATAGAAATTATTGATAAATAAAATTAGTTATAGGATAATTTTAATCATTTATATCATTTCATTATGGATATTCGTTATTTAGTATGTCTATTAATTTATCATCGACTTACCTAAAAATGTTGTACATGGGGAACTGTATATTAAATAATCCTTATTGGAACACCAAGCTGGAAATTCATTTTGTTGTAATGCTTTGGTAGAATGGTTGTCTTCCTCTCTTTTCCATGGTAAAACTGTTTCTGTGGCAGTAGGTGTTGAAACTTTACTCACTTCACCTGTAAAGAAATAAATATGAGTTGTTAAAGTTTTAATATAAAACTATTAAAATATTTTTTCTGAATGTGATGAGCATGTATTTTTATAACCCGTATATTAGACAATAATTAATAAATAAGTATTTACAAATGTATAAAAGAAATGTGAAAGAAGGTGAAAGGAGTTAATATTTGATGCATAAAATAAATAAATATTACGTAATATAAAAATTGGTTATGAAACGTAAACATTGAGATGAATTACTATCCCATGATTATTTTTAGATCGTAGATGTAATTAATATGGGTATATTACTAAATGTATGACATAAACAATAATTACAACAAAAAATAAAACTATTTGTCAAAAAAAAATGTATACATTATTTTTCAATTAGAAAGTTTATACATTAAATACAACCTTTTAATTTTAGGTATTTTTTTTAATTCCTTTTTTACAATTTTTAAGATAATAAATTTTGGAAAAAAAATAATTAAGAAATTCATTTTACATACAGTAACTACAAATTGAAGGAAACGGTACGATCAGACATGTTAATTGTATCCAAAATGAATTAAAATAGACAAAATTAAAATAACTGGACTAAAAAAACAATTCATCTAATTTTAGTTTTAATACTTAGTATAATCGTAGGTGTATATATTTGTGAAATACTCTTACTGTCTGGGATCAGACTAAAGGCTTCCCTGAGATGATGAAGGGAGGCTTACTGGCAAGTGGAATGGACAAGCAATAATTCAATACTGCCTTTGTATGAGTTGGTTTTCCTTTTATTGAATATAATGATATAATAAATAATCAGTGGTCGATTGAGGTGAGATTGAATGAATGATACACTGAATAGGTGAGAGTTTCTTCAAGTAGTATGAGTGATAATAATCTTGTAAGTGTATTCTTTATGTGACGCGTAATTATCCTACTCGTGGTTAGGACTCGTAGTGGTAGTGGGAGATGCGCTGATGAAGGGTAATGATGCCGTGAAGAGTGTCACGGTGTGAAAGGGGAGTGTTGACGCCGCCGATTGCCGCTACCGATAAGCTGGAGAGGCCTAAGTGGGGCACTGGTGCGTGACGTCACTGTTGAGGAGAATTGATGCTGCCGTGGTGGCGTTGATGTGTGACGTCAATGATGAAGGGCAATGATGATGCCGTGGTCTTGGTATTGCTGCTTATTTAACTCACAGAGCCGTGTGTTATTGATTCGTAAGAACGTGTGTAATAGCGTGACTTACGTGTAGTGAGGTCGATCTGTGTGGTGGTAGTAAGCTGAATGTGTATAGCTTACATGTTAGTTGGAGACAATCTGTGTGTATTGGAGGTGATTTCTGTGTAAGTGGTGTTGACTTGTAGGACGGCGATCCGATCTTGATGACTGCTTGATTGAACTAATAAGAGGACGAGGGCGTCAAGTACAGCTCCTTAAATATTCTCGTACGAACTTGCTGCGCCGATAGCACATCGGTGGCTGTTGCTATGCCGATATTTGTCGTGACGTCAACAGGGCATAGCATTGTAGGGTTCATTTGTTATTACTTTTCGGAATTATAGTCGTATATTCGAGTTTTTCGGTTAGAAGCATTCTTCGAGTCCGTTAGCCATTTGTTTACAAAACAAATGTTCGCGCGCTCATACCTCTCCCACTTTTATTCTGCTTAAAAATGCTGCAATCCGTAACACTTACACAACGGTATTCGTGAAATAATCTAAATAATATTTAATTAAACATGTTTTTCTGTATAAGTTTGTGGCCAGTATATTTAAATAAACCAGCTCTCTGATTATTCAAATTCAGAATTATAAGTATTATGATAGCTAGACTTATAAAATGTTAACATTTTAAAAATATTTTATATACACAGATATGATACAGAAATTATATGTTTATATGTAAGATTTTTCAATAAGATAACGCCTAAATTTTCTAAATATTCATTAGAATATTCTTTTAAGTATAAATGTTGAGAATTCCAGTCATCCAGTAGTCGAAGGACCAGGATGGTTATATTAGACTATGACCACTAGTTGTCTGATGGGGGAAAGAAGTGCGGGCAAATTGAAAAGATAGCACATTTATTTAAGAATTACATACATTTGCCTATCGTGCTGTTTATTGTATTTTATTTTTCAAACCACATAATAATGATTCTAAGATGGCGTTAAGAATCGTTGAGATCTTGCAGTTCCGTTCTAGCTGCCACGTGGCGTTAACACACACTACATGTAGATGTAGATAGTTCGAAATTCAGATCCTCTTGATGTAGTGTCCTTGGTGGTAAATTATTATTATACTGAAAAGTAAGAGGTCGTAAATCTCTGGTACTTCTGCATGTAGTACTACGTGATGGTAAGGCGTTGAGATCTCCTCACAGGAAAAACTTGGTTGGCTACATGTGATGTCTTATTTCCTTATAAAAGGGCCTTGTTGGCCTTTCTTGGTCGCACGTTGTGTCTTATTGCCATGTGCTAGTTGCACATTAGTAGGAGGGCTGGATCCTGTTTTGAGTGCCTAGATATTGAGCTTCTTGTAGTTGTGTCCGTTCTTGTAATGCAGTCAACACTCTTGACAGCTATTAATTATTGCGCACTTGAGAATTGAACGTGTATTGAACATAATGACTTCACTGTATTGGCGTAACTGAGTAACTAGCTGATGTAATTATAATAAGCCTGCAAGTCTGTTGAATACGCACACAAAACTGAAGGCTTGCTTGTTCTGAGCAGCTCTGCTGAGCGATCCCGACTGTTACATGGCGGTCCTGCTAAGAAAAACCGTGATCCGTGTCATGGAATCTTCACTGTGAAAGCAAGGCTCGACGTGTGCTTACTTTAAATATCCGCGCGGCAGTTTACTTAGCTGGCAACAATACATAGGTATTGCTATGTCGAAAGTCTTGCATGACGTTAGAGACTGAAGTTCTAGAACTTTCGAGAATTCCAGAAAAGCAAAGCTTTAGAGGTAGGACAATTCCAGCCGACGTAGCTATGCGGAAAATATTGTGAACAGTCGAAAATAAAGCTTAGAATATTCGAGAATTCGCGAAGTAAATGATTACAAACACGAGAATTAGAAGGCTTATATTTCTCCAATTTTCAGCCTTGAAAAATGCTCAAATTCCGAATAATAAATATGATATATAATTAAATATATTTAAATAGTTAGATGGTTATCATATAATATTAAGTAAATATGTTTATTTAATATAAAACTGTTATTATGCCAAATTTTAAATATTTATAAATGCTTTGGCAGCTGTATACATTTAAAGCTATCTCTTACTAGGAACGCCGTAGAGAACAAGCTCAGGATCAGTATCAGTAAACAAAGTCATAAACATTGCTAATCCTTACAAAACTAGGGAAAGCTATTATTAACATAGCCCAAGCCATACTCCTTACCAATGAGTGTGCACAATTCATTGCTGATCCTTACAAGATCAGCAACATCTTCGTTATCAAAAAGAGCATCTCGCGTTGGTGAACTATTCACCACAGAATCGGTTTATAGCAACTACATCGTTGTGATTGAACATAATATACACTCTTCCATCACGTAAATCCAACATATTAATAATGTAATTGTAAATAAACTATTATAAACCATACTTATCGAAGAAGCACATACTCTATTTCTACAGCCCTTACGCTTGACTCCTTCCCAAATATCTGCTAGGGCGGGCAGCAATTCTTGTAAAGCTATCGAAGCATTGGCAGTTTAAGCTACGAAATCAAAAATTTCCAAACACTATTCATTATGAATATTGTCAACTATAACATTTGTATACTCCAAATGTATAAAATAACTTAATTAATATCTTTAAGTAATTAAATTAACAGTTACTTGAAGTTGTCGTATGATGCTCCCAGTTTCTCCTCACAGGTTTGATGAGAAGTTTCCATACACTAATTGCTGCACTTGAACTCTTCCTTGTCCCTTTTGCTGAGATGACGAGAATCTCAGTACATATGCTATTAGAGCTTGATGAGACTAAGGGTAACTGGATATTGAATCACAGCCGTAGTAAGATATTTTACAAGGCTCAGCTGATCGACCTTTTCCTTGCTCCTCCTTCTCGGGAGTAGTCGTGACTTTTCTGACGAGAATAAGAATAAGTTTGACTTATCTGTGAGACTAAGTATAAGTTTCACTTATCTGTTAGATTAAGAATATGTGTCGGTACATTGCATTGTGCTTCTTAAATAGTTCACTGACTCGGTTCCACTAGGGACCCGGGACTTCTTCTTTCCTGTATCCAATCAGAGCTTGACTTTGGCAGCATGATGGATCATGCACACATTCATTTCCACTTCCTTCCGGGTTTTAGTCTAGAAAGTGCTAAATCAGGATAGTGTCGGAAAGGGGAGAGCTTTTACTATTGGTCGTCTCTCCCTCCTCTGGAACTTAGCGATATGAGGGATCCTCTTGGGCGTGGTTGGTTATCTAAGGCGATCGACAAGATGCAGCGTAGTTAAGAATAATTTAAACATTGTCTTAAGATGTCGAGTGTGCACGTACGCCTATTGCTTGTTGTCGCACGTGCAGAATTTGGATTGCAGTGAAATTTAGGAAATGTTGAACTTGATAGTTTATGTATATCTGATACTCTTTCAGAATCTACGTCTTCTTGGCAGTAAACAACAAGATCGTTTAACTGCACCGAAAAATCATGAGCATGTTTTTTGATAAGCGAGAATAAACTATAAGCTAACTATTCACGGGTGTTTTCCAGATGTATTGACCGTTTCGATTGTGCAACGACCGTGGGAAGTCGTGGCAATAAATGGTTTTCGCAATCTCGAACAGTATGTATATGATAAAACAATCATTGCATATTACATTATCATTTTACCAATTGTTATATTCTCTTAGCATATATAGAATATATAATTGTGTAGACTTCGCATAATTTAGTATTTTTTATAATCGATGTGTTGTAGATGGTTTTTATTGAATTTATTGAGTTTAAACGCTTGAATTTCATTATTTATTAATTTTTATATGACAATAAATGAAATCGTACTTATTGTAGGTAGGTAAACTAATGTATAATTTAACATATATTTACTTTTTATGATGGCATTTTTAAAATTCATAATACATTGCTATAAATCATTAAATAGGATATTGAAAAAAAATTAATCTAAAAGAATTAATCTAAAATTATACAAAATATTTATATTTATACATGATGTTACCTGTAGTTCGTGCAGTAAAAGTTATTCCAGTATCCCAATCATCTTTATTGGGAAAAAGAAATCTATCTTCAATATCAGAATCTGATTCGACGTAATTGAAGACATCTATAATAATATATTTTTAATTTGTAATAAATACATTATATTATAAATAATTTAAAAATTTTATTAAAATATTCATAACTATAACGGCAAAAATTTGTATGTAACATGTAATATTACAATGTAATATGTACATTTTATGTTAATTAAAAAAGAAAGGATAAAGATAAATATTTTTATACCAAATAAAATAGACTATCATTATAAATTAAATTCTGAACTATTCTTATTTATAAATTCTCTATATTTTAGCAAATATTTTGTTCTTCCTAAATAATGTCTATCAATATAATTTCATTTTTTCAAAGATTTTAATCGACCCTTTATAAAATCAAAATAAAAGCATGATTCTAAATATGTTACAGCATTACAAACAATTGAAGTTAATTTTATGGATATAAGCTTCTTATAAAAAACTAATTTCTGGAATAGAAATTATTGTTCCTTTGATAGTTAAAAAATGTGTTTTTAGCAAATAAATTATCCTTTTACCTTACGTAATCCTTCTTCACTATAACTATTATTACATAAAAAATGTTAATCATAAAAATTCATATTACATATTATAAATAAAGTTTCTTATCTATATAGTTATTTATATTTAGAAATTAATTATATTATATTATATTATCAAACTGTATTTAATTGTCATTTATTTATTTAACAGGCACCTTCAATTAATGATTTTATCATGTTATTAAATTAGTTTTGTTATTAATACATTTTTCAGCTTATATAAATTAGCATCTGTTCGAGAATGCGAGAACATTTTTTCCTTTTTTCTTTTTTGTCAGTGCAATAAAACATCTGGCAAGTAATATCGTAAAATTTTTATTTGGATTTCAAACTTCACTTGCTCAAATTTTCTCACGCATTAGTGTCATAAAACATCTAGAAAAACAATATCATAAACACGGAAAAACCTATAGTTTTTACATCTGCATTTTCGTTCCGCTCGGCAACTACATTAAGCATTACTGCGAGCGGACCCTCCTTCCCCTTCCCACTGTCAAGAAGTTGCTTGCTGTCACCAGATGTGTCAGCGAACCCCCCCTCGCCGCGGCCTACATGTTTTTGTCAGTGCAATAAAACATCTGGCAAGTAATATCGTAAAATTTTTATTTGGATTTCAAACTTCACTTGCTCAAATTTTCTCACGCATTAGTGTCATAAAACATCTAGAAAAACAATATCATAAACACGGAAAAACCTATAGTTTTTACATCTGCATTTTCGTTCCGCTCGGCAACTACATTAAGCATTACTGCGAGCGGACCCTCCTTCCCCTTCCCACTGTCAAGAAGTTGCTTGCTGTCACCAGATGTGTCAGCGAATCCCCCCCTCGCCGCGGCCTACATGCTGTCGCATGCGGCAGCGGCAACGAGAGATCTGCGTATCATGAAGACCCAGAGACGACTAGGCCCTTAATTAACTCCGAACCCAAAAGAGGCGCTGCCCTCGCACTATAAGGGAGGATTCTCTGATAGGACAGACAATAAGGGAAGGGGTTCAAGAAAAATTCATGGTCAGAAAATGTATTTAAGGGGCGCAATTTTCAATACTCATTTACTCTCGATACTTAACTCTCTTAACCCTTATCACTCGTGATATTTAACTCGTTTCGAAGTGTCTCAGTTTTTTGATATCTCTCTTTAGTAATACTCTCTCAATATATTGAACCCTTGAGACATTTCATACTCAGTTAAGTTTAGTGAAGGTCTATTTAGCACTATTGCCAGAACGACTTATACTTCATCGGATTGTCCATTAACACTGTTGCTGGAACAGTAGTTACCGCTTTGGAAGAACTACGACATAAACCCCTATGTCCACTAACGCAGTTCAAGAAACCGTAGGTACTTGTTCCAAGGGAGCTACGATAATCCGCCTATCAGAGTCCGAAGATGAGTCAACGATTAGTCTTTGTAAGTAGTATCTACTACAATAATTATATATATATATATATATATATATTGAGATTCAGAGTATTACATCGACAAGTACTAAGAACGAGGAAGCTACTCTTAAAACGACAGTGCGGAATAAATTCCAGTACGCGTCGTCAAGTTTCGTAACCCTCACCTTAGTTCAAGTTCGAAAGCTTACGAAAGTAAGCAAAACCCAGCGCAAGTGTCGACAATCTAGTTTCGCGCCACTTTGCGATATCTTTCAATCATAAAGCTGCATTCATAACCTCAACCACACACGTGCTCGTTCAAAAGGCGCTAGTGTCGACGAACGAAACTTCGCGCCATTCGCCATTCGTATTCAACAATCAAGCTGCATAGATTATTATACAGTTGTCTCCGCAACACATCACTTCAATCCAAGAATTTAGTTCTACAAGTAATAATAGTAATACTAGTCAACCTTGTCATTAGTAAATAACAGAATAAATAGCATACTTCAGTCATATCTTTATTGTATTATTATAATATCCCTTCCACTTGTGACCTGTCATCGCTACCACACAACACCCGTGATCTCTGAGTAGTCAACGGTATCAATATGTATCCTTCGCACCGGCCTTGGTAAAACAAGCCGGAACGGTGAATACATTTTGTACATAAATTATTTTATTGATAGTGAAAGAATTGAATTTATTATTAAAATGAATACTCTTTTAATTTTATTTGATTGTTCTATGACATAATAAATTAAATGTTGATATAAATAAACATTCATACTTGATATTTTATATAAAAGTACTCACAGCATAGGTTTCATATAAGGCGTGTGCAATACATGTATATTAACCGTGTCCATACATAGGTTGTTATCTACAAATTACACCGATTACAATTGTTATAATTTTGTGAATTGATAATAGAAACAAGATATTGCGTTGTATCAAAAGTATTGTAAAAGTATTTTTTTAAAAACAGGAAACTACTTCAAGCTTTTTTCTACAGTTATCACTCACTGTAGCGGTATACATACGTAATAATTAATTAAGTAAATAATCTAAGAAAGAAATAATGACGCTATATTCCTAAATTCATTAAACTAATCATAAATTAATTACGCGCTAGTGCTAATATAAAACAAGAGTGAAAACAAAAATCATATTACATATTCTCACGGATAAGACCGACGCATACTACTACTGAAGCAGCTCATAGATTAGACCGATGCATATATCGGCGGCGGAACCAACGCATACTACTATTATATATGCTCACGGATTAGACCGACGCATATACAGGCGACGGGACCAATGCATACTATTATTATATATGCTCACGGATTAGACCAACGCATATTACAACGAAAAGGATATACACTCATCAAAACGTAACAATATAAAATAAACATCACATATTTAATTCAATCATACCATTATTCATATACTTCATGGTCATTCATTATTTATTATATTATTATATTTAATAAAGGGAAAGACAAATAAATACTACAAGTAGTCTTGAATAATTGCACTGTCCCTTCCACTTGCCAGCAATATCTCCACCCAACATCTATAAGTTTTCAGTCTGTTCCCAGACAAGTATAAATTCACAAAAATTCATTTATATGAAATTAAGATGTATTGTTAAATTTGGTGTATAAATTATAAAAAAATTATTATATGTTAACAAGACTTTACATTTAACCGTTTCTAAGTTTAATATATAAAAAATTAATTTATCTTGTCTTATAGTTTATAATTGTAACAATTTCTACCTTTTTATAGAAAAATTCACTATCGATAATAAACTTGGAGGCTTTTATTCCATTTTTAATTCTGTTTAATAATTCATTAATTAATATGCAGAAAATAATTCATTTTAGAAATATCATAACCTAATTACCTGCCGAATTTATCATAATTTGAATATTTTTTATCCATATTATTATTTTTTTCAATCCATCTATATCATAGGAACTGAAACATATATCAGAGTACTTGAATTTTTTAAAATGGATTTGATTTTCTAGCGAATAATAAAGTGATAAAATTGATACGTAGAATTACGAAAATCTGAATTTGAATATAAATGATTGTGTGCAATAATTTAAAGTATTAAAGAACACCATTATGCAGTTGCAAAACAGATATATTTACATTTACATGAATAAATCCATTTAAACTATTTTCAATATTACACTCGATATTTATTCAATTAATAAAAAGCAATTCATTTAATGTTGATTAAAATCATCTATTAATACATTAGAGTATAGACAAACAAATTAACTCACAATGTAGAAAGCTGGTGTGTAGAGACCGAAAGAGGCGGTGCCAGCAGCGAACATTAACATTCGTACTGGTCGACAGTTAACAGGGCTGAAATCTATGAAAGGTTGTTGAAAAGCCTTCTGTGCAGATTTAGATTTCGGTTTAAGTTTGTTCTGTTGGTTCTTTAGATGTAAAATTGCATGACGTTGAGGGTGATAAAGTGAGGCATTACGATAAACTAATCCCAAAAAAATGGCCAAGAACAATATGCCAGTAATAGTTTGAAGACCAAGCCTCCAACCAAGTTTTCTGTGAAGTACATTCATTTCTTATTCATAGGTTTTATATTATTTATAAATACATATTTCTATGTATATTGTATTTAATTTGTACAATGTTAAACTATTATTGGATTATAAATTTGTATGTAATTTACTTTTTATTATAATTAATTAAAATATTTGGACTTATTTTAACGAGGGTTCAAAATGATTAGTTATTTTTCAAAATTTTGTCAAGGTAGTTGGGCTGTTAAAATCACGTGAAAACGTATTGATCATACAAGCTTGTTTTTTGCATCTTTTTAAAGAAGTTAATTACTTTTACTAAATTTTATTGATTTTCGTTTATCTTTAATGTCAAATTCTGTAGTACTAATAGAGAATCTGATTAAAAAGAAAAATAGTATTTCATTATTCCTCAATAATACACATTTGTATATGTTTAGGATTGGTACACCTAACATAAAAATTTCAATTTCCACAAAATTAAAATCATTATAACTCGCAATGTCATAAAAATTTGCTACGAAAATTCTTGGTAAAATTTAAAGCCTTTGCCTAAGAAAGTCCTACAATTTACCTGCATTGCAATTACGGAGAAGTCTCCAACCGGCAAAGGCTTGCCCTTCAACAATTGACAGAAATTTCTGGAACTGAAAATCTAACGGCACACAGGAATTTTCAACATAGCAACACTAAAGGTATTACGGATAGGCTCGACGACAAGCGCTCGCATATATTAAGGCAACGCGCATCGAAGCAAATGAGTCTTGTTGAGTGAGTCTAGAAGAAATAGTGCAAGTCACATCTAAGTGAAGTTCTACACGTCTGTCTACGGGGATCCATGCAAGGTATATCATTTATTAATTATCAATTTATTGCTGTCCGGTGCAAATCGCTCGCGGTGAGCCCTCTGCAACTTGATTCTTATCAGACCGCTACGAGGGCGCCGCCATTAGCCGTACGTCTCTCGTAATTAATTACCATTCGATTGCTACAAGGCGCATACGCTCGTGATGCGCCTTTAGCGATATTGATTCTCATTCATATCGCTACGGGGCGTCGCCATTTGCCATGCGTCTCAGTCAGACTACTTACCATCATTGTTACCAGTCGCGAGTCGCTCGCGGTAAGCTCTCTGCAAGTTGGTTCTCATAAGACCGCTACGAGGGCGTCGTCATTGACTTGCGCCGCTAGAAAGATAATTACTATTATTGCCAGCAGGCGCAAATTGCTCCTGGTAAGCCTTCAGCGACTTCGAATCTTATTCAGACTGCTATGAAGGCGCCGCCATTTGCCATGCGCCTTTAGCATGGATAATTATCATTTACCTACAAGACGCAATATCGTACCATTTATGTTACGGACTAAAACGGTTGAAAAGTGAAATACAAAAGTGGGAGAGGTATGAACGCGCCATTCAGTTATTTAAACAGAACAATAGCAACGAACGATCCAGGCTATGCTCTGTTGACGTCGCGGCCAATGTCGTCATGGCAACAAAACATCGGCGTTGTAAACAATAGTGCAATAATATTTAAGGACTGCGCTTCACACGTAGCAGCTAGTCTTTGACTCAGTCTAGTCTAGTAACAATTACGCAGTCATCATAACGGGAGTACTATTCGATTTTCAAGCTTCTGTCTACAGTCATCATTACTATACGTTTAAACATCTATTCAGTTACTTCACATCAGTGTCACTTGCGCCTAGACGAACTGCAATTAAAAATTCAGATAATCAAGAACACAAGAAAGAACTCACACTACTACAATAGAATAATTATCTATCTCATTAGAAGTAACCAACAATGCTACAATATTATAATTTTATAAGCAGAATAAATTAATAATCGAACTTAAATATATTACATTATACTTTTATCATTTCATTTGTGCCTTTTTTCTCTTAATTCATTATGGGGAGAGATTAATCCACTGAACTATTTATATATGGCTATTTATATAAATGGCAGTTCGACCCATAAAAACAAAACGTTAAAAATCGAACAATTTACCTACAACGAAACTGGTCCAATTATATCGCTAAGGAGTTACGTCACTGGCCACGCGTCTCTAGCGAACTTAATTCTCATATTTACTACGGAGAGGCGCTGCTACTAATAACACGCTTACAGAGAGAGAGAGAGAGAAAGAGTGCGAAAGTTACGTAATACTGCCATAAGAGCGCTTCGACTTGTAACACGCCCGCAGATAAGATCAGTCTCACCTTGCACACCGGGACGACACCCTGTAGTTTCTCTGCCAACCGTAAGGATCACGACGAGCTCAACAATACTAACAATTAACGTTGAATCATTGATCAATGGTAACAGAAACTTAAATAAAATCACGAAAACCAATTGTGCTTATACTGAATCGATTGTGTCATTAACCTCTCACTCATCCCCTCCATTTTTCCACCGTTAAAATGTCGGTATGGTCTAATTAACCACGTTGGTCTCCTGACCATACCGGGTAGCTGGAATTCCAAACAGTATATTTCTTGTCATAATTTTAACTTTAAATATGCAGTTTTCAACATTTTTTAATACACACATTTTCGTTAATTATTAGAGATATTATACAGATTTTATTAGCCTATTATGTTCCCCAGAAACGCGGATTTCGAAGGCGGTTGACGCTGAAAAACAATACAAAGAATAGAGTAAGAAAACTATGTTCAGTTTAGGTTTCGATAATAGCAATTAACCAATTGTATAGTTCAATTAATATTCGCAGATTAAGAATAAGAAAGAAGCTTAGATTCTCGAACGTTCTGCAAGTTGGCTTGTTTCCCCATAGCAGCACCTAAGCATTGTTGTCAGCTTTTTGTTGCCGCGCTGATACTTAAGAAAGTTATCACTCAGCAGTCACTCAGTACGCAGTGCTAGTTATTTCTCCGAGTCAGTCACTCGTCCTAGCCACGCCATTAAACGGAGTCTAGAGCAGAGAGAAAGTCACGCAACATACGCTCTCTCAGTGCAGCCATTGTAAGGAACTCATGCTCAATTCTCAAGTGCGCAACGGTTAACAACCAGTCAAGAGCCGACTGCAGCTCTAGACAATAGTTGACTACACAAAGCATGGTATCGGGCCCTTCTTAACTCGAAGGTATACCATCAGTCTTAATTGAGAATAACTACCACAGGAACATTCTCACACTCCCCTTATGAGTATGGTCGACTCTCCTTGCTAACCTTTACAATGTTAGCATAGACCTCAACCAAGCCATATTCCCCTTCAGGAAATATACAAAATCGATTACTGATCCTCATAACATCATCGAAGACATCGTCACCATTACCAAGGAGCAACTACATCATTGTGATAGAACATAATTCACTTTTCACTACGAGAAGTGAATACAGAATAATAATAGTGTAATTGTCAATAAAATCAAATAAATGATGTCCTTAACGAAGTTTACACATACTGTACATATTTATAGCCCTTCCACGTACGTTCTTTCTTAAGCATCGCTAAGGCGGGTGAGAAATAAACTGAACTATTGAAATTGGCAGTTCGAGCCAGAAAACTAAATTCATTTGATCCTTCGAATCGGATCAAAATAAACAAACATTATCGAACAGTAATTATTAAATGTATTTTTATAAAGTGGACAAAATCGATAAATATTTTTATTATATAATTTTATGAAAATCTGTTCATTTATTAATTATGAAATTTTTTAATATATATATCTTGAATGGATATATGTAGACTATTTATCTTAGAAAAATAATTAAATATAATTTGCCATTCAATTATATATACATTTATATATATTTATATTTTATAAGTTTATAAAATCATATATATGCCTTATATCTTACCCAACAGCTTCTTTGTAACAAACGCTGAAAACTGCTATACCAATACCGGTACCAGTTTGGACAATCATTTCCACAAATTCTCGACGTTTCTTAAAATAATGTCCTAATATAAGCCCAGCAGTTTCACGTACCAACCCAGCTCCAACACCAAGCACTAGTCCATAGCTGCATTACCACATATATTTCAAGTTATGTTACATTAGATTATAGGATCCATTTATTGATAGACTCATTGTAGTTATTTTTGTTTATTCTACCTTGTGTATGAGTAAGATTAGAAGAATGGCAATAAGAAAAATCAAATGAAGTAGCACACAAAGATTGAAACATATTTGACTTATAAATATTATTATACCTGAGAAGTACTTGATGCGGTTTAACTGAGAAGGACATGAAAAGTGATGCTAAAGCTAGAACAAGACCACCCATGAAAGCTGTAAATCTAATGCTGCTACGACGACATGTACCGAGAACAATAGGTGCTGTGACGCGCGATATTGCAGCACTCAATGAACCGATCCACACTACACATTAAATACAAATATTTTAGCTTGTTTTGAAAATATTTTATAAAAAAATGAAATGGTATTTATTTAAAATTGAAATTTTCGATTTATTTTTGAGCAAATATAAAATTTACAAGTACATATGTGTACTTCATTTAATATAAGTATTAAGAATTATAATCAAAAGTTATTTGCTCAATATGAATCATAATACTACAAATTGCACATTCAAAAATGTATAATATTGAAATGTGATAAAAAATCTTAGTTAAATATTGTGTCAGCATATTTTTAATATAACTTCCATAACTTTATGTATATATAACAATTATATATATAAATAGATTTAATTTTTAATTTAGAATTATATAAAAATTACAATAATAAATTTATTTAATGAATTTTGTTATAGCTTTTCTACACTTATTTTGATATAGATATTATTGTATTGTTTCTCATTTATAATAACGTGTATAATACTATATATAGCTGGTATTAATAACAATTGATAGTTCATTTCTAAGTATTGATAGATGTTTCTTCAAAGCTACTCAAAGTTTAATTAATAATGTAACTTTTTAAAACATTATTTCATAAAATTAAAATAATAAAAATGTAATATTATAGATACAATATAGGACCATCTAATAATTGAAGACTAAACAATCGTTCATCTTAAATTATTTTGTTAATTAGAAATTTTAAATAAATAATTTAAAAGAAATGTTTTATTCAACACGTGTAAAAACTTCATTTATATTAAAAAGAGGCAGACTATGTATAAGCTATGAATATATTTGATAATCAACTTATTATAAATAGACATAAACTAATTATAAAATAGACTGTAGAAGATTTATTCATCTAATCTAAAAAGAAGAAATTTTAATGGAAAATCACAATAAGCAACGAGACTGTTGCATATACATAAAAATCACTATGAACTTTAATTGCAAGATTATTTTATTTGTAAATTTTTATGTTTGTTGTGATCTTCAAAATCTAGTAAGTATATAAAAGTAGACATTAAATCTGATAATATTATAGCGACGCAATAAAATACATATTTGAATTGATAAAATACAGCATAATTTAATTGAATAAGTCATATAAAAACACAATTTCTAAGTCGAAAATTCGACAATTACATTTCAAATTTCTTTAATTTTATGATGCAATAAAAAATAATCCACAGAAAACATAATGACAAATTAAGTAAGCAAATAGTTGAATACAAATTTAAGATATTAGCAGTATAAGACGGTAAAGGCTAAGAAAGAGTAAATTGTAGACAAAAAATACAAAAATTAATTTTTATGTTAGATACGAATAACAAATATATAAACAATAAAATTCCTAACAAAAATAGATATTAGATCGCTGTTCCGAATTGGACCATTTATTTGAGACCTTCGGTTTTCGGAAACTTTACATTTTCTCACGCCGATTTCCCGATTACCTAAAAGCTTAGAATTCTCGAACGTTCTACAAGACTGCTTAGCCTTCGCGTAGCAACGACGACCGAATTATTGAATCTTCCAAGGCTTTTGTATAAAAAGTATCCACCGTTCCGGCTCGTTCTACCAAGACCGATTCGAGGGACACAAATTGTTGCTGTTGACGACTCAGAGACCACGGGATGTTGTGTGGTAGCGATGTTAGGTCAATTGGAAGGGATAGTATAATAAATTCAATATTAATATATCTTGTTGTTACTCTGTTGATTCTGTTATTTCCAAATACAGGGATGATTATTATTACTGTTACCAATTGTGGAACTATAGTTGTGTATATTACGTTTGCGGTGGCAAGCGTACACATTTTATTGTAAAACTGCGTGTTGTTTCTACTATGAGCGCGAATGACGCAAAGACTGGTTGAGGTTGTGGTCCTCAATCCTGAGGTAATTGGATGTTATACTTTCCTCTCTTGGCGTAGTGCACTAGTGTTATTCCTTGGGAAGTAAGAGGTCGTAACGCTCTTACCACCTTATAGAGAATTCCACGTGTGGTGAATATAAGCGCTGAATGGCGGGAAGATCGGCAAGATCAGCAAAATGGCTCGAAGACTTGGTGACACGTGCTGTTCTTAATGGGCACTGGCTTCTCCTGTGAGAAGGCCTCAATTCCTTTTGTATGCTCGATGACCGGGCTTCTTTACTCCGAATCTTATATGTTGGTTATGATAATTGAAGTAGTTTTTTTTAATGAGGACTTCAACTGGTATTTGTCTTTGGACTCTGATAACGGAAATTTACGTCTCCTTTCTTTCAGGACTTGTAACGAATGTTGTTTGAATTACTTTAAGGGACTTTCCACTTCGAATAAGGACTTTGTACGAGAGAAATTAAATCTTGAAATTGTCTCTCTTAAAAACATTCACTGACGATGGTTTTCACTTGGGATCCCTTCCCCTTTTTTGTGTTCAATCAGAGCGCGGTTTTTGGGCAGCATGATTGAGTATGCACGCCTCTTTCCCACTTCTGAAGAATTTATGCTTTGACAATGATAACATCGAAAAGTGTCTTCGGTGGCACCGCTTACAATTGGAAAGCTCACCCCTCTCTTCGATTTAGCAAAGTGGGGGTTCTTGGTCAAACGTCGTCGCTCGGCTCGTGCGAGAGGCAACATTCGTCGTACTTTACAACAATGTATGCGTTGTGTCTCGTGGGATTGAGAGCGCACATGTACCAAGGATGGCTTGTTATCATACGTGCAGGGTTTTAGGTTGCAATGAATTTTTAGAAATGTTTTTCTACTCAATAGTTTCTGTATATCTAACACTCTCAAAATGTTCTAGCATAAACAGACTCGTCGCGTTCTTGCCAGTAAACAACAAGATCGCTTAACGCGATGAAAAACAATAAGCGAGTTTGAAATGCGAAAATATATAGCAATGACTATTCACGAGTGTTTTCCAGATGTACCAACCTTTTCGAGCCTCCAACGACCGTGGGGGAAATTCTTAGAAGTTATGTCCGTTCATTATTTCTCTTGAAATAATAGTTGTTGGGATTTTTCCAGGCAAAGAAAGGGTTCTCACAATCTCGAACAGCTTTGCTTTCGAAAGTCTAGTTTTCGATCGTTTCCGAAGGCTGCTTAGCCTCGAACGATTACGTTTGCTTTCGCCGAATTCTTGATCGTTTACGAAGGCTGCTTTGTCTCGAACGGTTACATTTGTTTTCACCGAATTCTCGAATAGCCGGAACTTGGATTCCCGATCGTTCTTGAAGGCTGCTAGCCTTGAACGATTATGTTGCTTTCGCCGAATTCTTGAATAGCTGAAAGCTTGTTTCGTACTAGTGTTAGTTGTCGCGCTGATACTTAGGGAAGCGTGCGTCAAGACTCCACGTAGTTAACATGAAGCAGTTATTCAATACGTAGTGTCGGTACTTATAAAGTTTACAGTGTCAGTTATTCCCTACAATCAGTCACTCTTCCTAGCCAGTCATCTACGCCCAAACCACGCTATCGCACGGAGTTAACACCAAGGAGAAGGCCACGCAACACACGTTCTCTCAATAAAGACTTTGCAAGGAACGCTCGTTTACTTCTCCGGTGCACACAGACAACAATTCGTCAAGGGCTGACTGCTGTTCTAAAAAAATAGTCGATCTACACTCAAAAGTATATCATCTGTCTTTATTGAGAATAACTAGCACACACATAGTCACATACTTCTCTTATGAGCGTGGACCACTCTTCTTGCTGACCTTTACAACGTCAGCACAGAACCCAACAAGCTATATTCCCCTTCAGGGAATACACAAAATCTATTGCTGATTCCCATAACATCATCAACGACATCGTCACCATCACCAAGGAGCAATCACATCATTATAATAGAATAATTCCCTCGCTTCCACAATAGAACTACAATAATGTAATTTTTAATAAAAATAAAATTAACGATGGCCTAAACGAAGTTACACTCTGTACATATTTACAGCCCTTACACACGTCTCCTTTCCTAAACATCGCTACGGCGAGAGACTAATAAACTGAACTATTGAATTTGGGAGTTCGAGCCAGAAGCTAAACTTTCTAATGCACGCTTATTACATTTATACATCTATTTAACAAATAAATATTTTATAACTTACGTTAAATAGAAGAAAAAAAATTAAAAAAAGAATAAAATATAATTATGAAAAGCATATAGAACCAAACTGTTTCTAAAGTATATAATGATCTATATAATTCATATCAACACTTTTACTAACAAAGACTAATATAGAAAAATTGAAAAAATTGAATAAAATTACATTATTCCATTTAAAAATGTAAAAGAGTATCTATTTTGGTTGTTCATTACACATATATGTAATATATATATATATATATATATATATATATATATATATATGTACATTAACTTTAAAAAAACCAATTATATATTTATAGTAATAATATATTAAATAGTTGCGTTTTTTATTTTATTTATATCCGAAAGTATCCGAATTAAACAATTATTTATTGTAACAATCGTCACTCTTTTGGTACATAAAAATACATAAAATGTATGATTATGTAAAAAGCTTACTATTCGATTTTAAGAGTTGGTTTTATAGCTCGAACTGGCAATTCAATAGTTTAGTGAATTAGTCTCTCGTCATGATAACTTTATAGAAAATAATACGTGAAAGGGCTGAAAAATATTATGTATTATGTATTTTTGTAAAACAAAAATAAATATTATAATAATATTGCACTGTCGTTGAGAGAGAAGATTATTCTATTGTAGTGATGAGGGTGTTTCCTTGTGTTCTTGATTATTGTAAATTCTAAGATGGTGTTTGAATCAAGCATGCTTGGTAGATGGAATGACTATACTTAATAGAGTGTAAGAATTCTTGATGGAAATTAGTGCGTAATCAATTATTCTTTTAATTATGACGGGAGCTGTTGAAAACTAGTCACACGCAAGTCATTAGTAGCATACCTTCGAGCTCTGATGGACTAGATTGTCGTGTATTTTTTTGTAGATTGTTTATGATTGACGTGTTGCGTCAATTGTGTCGATTCATTTGCGGGCCTGTACGGTGTCGAAGCGTTTGTTCAAGAGAGCGTAAGTTTTCCAATCGACTCTTGTGGGCCTGTATGATTTCGAAGTGTTAGTTCGAGAGAGCGTAAGTTTGCGCGTCTGTAACAAGCTTATTTAATATAAAGAGATGTACCTTGTAAACTGCCGACGAGTAGTGTCGATTTACTGCGTAGTTGATGCGCCCCTTTTGATTACTATTCCAATTGGCTTCACTGTAAAATCACTACTTAATCTGATGATTTCTTTTTAATAATGTACGTGTATTTTTAAATAGGCTGCCGAATATGTGGCCACGCGTCGTCGTCACAGTATATACTAAAACACTGAGCGGTAATAACTGTTAAGTGAACGAGAGGTAGAATTACAATGAGCGTATAAGCCTTTTGAATACGCGCACAAAGCCGAAGGCTTGATCATTCCGTGGTCGCTCTGCTGAAATTACCGACCGTTCCATGGCGGTCGTGCTGAGGGCAGACCGCGACCCATGTCGGCTTCTACTGGTAGAGGTTTAGATAGGTTCACTGCGGCCGGGTCACGGCAAGATGTTAGCCGAAAGCGCAGTTCAGTAAGAGGTAGCTTCAGTAAGGGTGGTTCGGCAAGAGATGTTTAGCAAGACAGCGAGGCATGCCGCGTGCTTGCCTTATAAATCCACGCGGCGACTCACTTGCACTGGAATCTTACATGAGGAGAAAGAAAAATCTATTAGTTCGACGAAAGAAAAAATAAGGCGTAATAACAATAGAAACTTCCGGGCGATGTTATTCCTCGAAGACCATATAAACATTACGGGCCACTTGAAACCAAAACATAACAAGTAGACGAAAAATTCTCGTCCAAGTGTTTACAGAAATCTGAGATCTAAAAGGCCATCGATGCCGACAATTGGCGGTCTTGAAACTGGCTTCAATCTAGAACACTTACTTATAACATCTTTGTAAAAGCTCAAGCATCGCGTATAAAAGTATAACATAACTTCAGATAAAAATCACATTATTCTTAATTGGATAGAATAACAGATATATATCAACTTTTTGTATCTAAATAATGATTGTAATAAACATTTGTTAATTGCTGAGTTTCAGATACATTGATCTAAAAAGTTATACTTATGTAAATATATAGTTTAATATAAAAAGGGTAAATATCCGATTAAAATCTTTTATGGTATTTATACGGTGATACTATGTAGTAATAATGAATTAATTAAAAATTAGTCTTAATTATTTTATTTTAAAAAGCTTAATTGAAATCAATATCAGATGAATTAAAGATTAAGTAATTCAAAGAGCTTCAATAGAAAACAATAATTATATATAATACTGAGATTTACCAATGTTCATTAAATATGATTGCCCAAGATGTTTGATAATATATATATATAATTGACCAAAAGCAAGCTGCATTCCGTTAGTTAACAATACAGCCAAAAAACCGGCTGTGCAGACAAGCCATCCCCAGCCGCCTTCTGGATAAAAATGCATACGAATTCTAGATATATTTACCCCTATAAAAGAATAATAATAAATTAAAAATTCCAGATTGATTATATTACATAAGATAAGAGTACATTTATTCAATACTATTGATTAACTAATCAAAATAAAATAATTTTTCATATACTTTTAGACCTTACATTTTTTATTATTTTGTAAATAGGGTACATATTTTTATGTGTATAAATCATTTAGATACCATTTACTCAAAAAATAATGTATTATTTTAATAACTATATATTACGTTTGCACAATATCGTTTAAAAATTGTAATTAAAATTACTGCATCGGTAATCGACATTTTCGCTATTACAATATAATTTTTTATCAAATATTTTAATTCTTTCTTTCTTATTTCTAGTTTTCGATTATATATAAATATCTATATTTACTTTTATATTTATAATAATTGAAAGATGCATTTTTTTCAAGATATATTTTTAATAATTTATATTTCTAAAATATGAAAACCATCTATATAGAACTATACATATTTACATAATTTGAACTGATTTTACTTTAACGAATATTTTATATTATTTAGAATTAGACTAAGTCCACCAGTTTACTGAAGGGAGAAAAGTGTGGATAAGTGGGAGGGGTAGCGCTTCTAGTCAATATTTAAGACATCTGCTTTTCGTGCTGTTTATTGTGTTTTAATTTACAACTACACTATAATTCTACGTTGATGATGAGAATCGTTGAGATCTTGCCATTCCTTGGTGGTTTCTACGTGATGGTAGCATGCACTAGAGATCGAGGTAGGAGGTCGTAATTCGCCGGCTCCTCTTGACGTGATGCACTTGGTGGTAGATGCTTACATGGAGAAGCGAGTTCGTAAATCTCTGGACATTCTTCGTGTAGTGTCACCTGGTGGTCACCGTCTTGCTGGTCTCCTCCGTGAGAAAATGTGCGATGGCACTGAGAGAAGTGGCGATGGCACCTTGAGCTACTGTACAATGGCAGAGAGTGTTGAGTGATAGGTGGCTATGGCACCTTGAGCTGCTGTGTAATGGAATTGATTTACTTGATTAACGACTCTACCGAGAGAGCTTCCTTCTTCCTGAGCGTCCCCACTATTAGAGCGCCTGTGTATTGTGGTCGTCTCCTTTAAGAGCGCGTGGGTATTGGCGTCCCCGCTAACAGGGAGCCTTTGTCTTGTGGCGTCCCCATTACGAGAGCGCCTCTATCTTGTGGGATCGCCGTTAAGAGGAAGCCATCTATCTTTCTGCTTTCCCGTTAAGAGGGTACCTCGAGTTGAAGCATCTTGCCTTAAATATCGAAACAACAGTATAGCTAAATTTGACAAGTGTATGCTATTGTGCACATTTAGATTTTTATTTTTTAGGTGTAACGACTTTTTCAAGATATTGAATGACTTGGGAAAGAAATCGTTATGCGCGAAAATCTAAAATCTAACGGTATGCACTGCCCCCCTCCTTTGTCGTTAAGTTGCCATGCGATCATCACAAGATTTAACCACTCTGGGTAAAGTCCTTATTCAAATAGGAAGTGGCAAGTCCCTCAAAACGTAGTCCAAAGACAAACTTTCGTTGAAATCCTCAATGAAAAGGGACGTATAAAATTGCCTTATCGGAGTCAGAAGACAAGTACCAGTTGAAGTCCTCATTGAATAAGGAAGCGAAGGAAGGAAAAAAATTGAATAAGGAATTGAAGTCCCTCAACTGAGTCCAAGATTAGTCTTCGTTTGTAGTATCATCTACTTTAGGCGTCATAGCCATCATCTAAGATTCGAAGTCTAAGAAGATAGATCATCGAGCATACATAAAGGATTGAGGCCATCTCACAGATACACGTAAAATTATCTTAATTAATTCTACTGTCTGTACTCAAGGAGAAGCATATGCTCCATACGCACGTAGCACGTGTCGACAAGTCTTTGCACCATTTACGCTCACCTTACCGACCTAACTTCATTTCTAGCTCGAGTCCTACGCACACGAAGCCAATCTTCGCACCATTCAGCGCTAATAGTAGAAATAACACGTGACCTTCTCGATGAAGTGGTAAGAGCTTTACAACCTCTTATTTTTCAGGGAAGAACAACAGTGCATTATGCCAAGAGAAGCAAAGTAGTACATCCAATGTGGTTAAAGTGCGCTTGCTATGGTCAGAAGTGTAATACGTTAGAATCAATCTTCGGGCCATTCAGCGCTTAAAGCATTAATAACACGCGGCTCTACTCGAAGAAGTGGCAAGATTATATAACTAATCACTTTCCCGGGAAGAGCATTAGTGTATTACGCCAAGAGAAGCAAAATACTGCATCCAATTACCTCTGGTGAAACTACGCTTGCCTTAACCAAGAGTTCAACAATTGATAACAGTAATAAGAACCATCCCTGTATCTGGAAATTATCGGAATAAACAGCATAACAAACAGATGTATTGATATAGAATTAATTACACTATCCCTTCCACTTGCCGCATATCGCTACCACATTAACATATCGTGGTTTCTGAGCTGTCTGCATAAACAACTTTGTGTCCTTCGAACCGATCTTGGTAAAACGAGCCGGCTCATCGGACACATTTTGTACAGTTACCTGTTCGCCGAAGTGCTGGAACACAACGATGCAGGCTATGCAAATCACTAAAAATCCAATTTCCATTACTAATTACAGTTTCGTCTATATCCTTACAAGCACGTAAATCTAAAACATACAGAAGAATTTATTGAATTCATAAAAATAGATAAAAATTATTAGTTTTAAATATAATAGTTAGTATAACATAACATTGAAGGATGTAGATAAGATGTATAAATACGTATATGAATATCTTTTTAATATTATATCAATTACAAAGGAAATTCTAATAAATTCCAAAATAATCAATTTTAAGTTATTAAACGAAATATTTGTAAAAATATTTATTTTATGGTTAATAAAAACACAGTAAAATATTTAGAAATTGAATAAATATTCGAGCTAATTTATACTATATGCACACATGCAAGCACACATTACACAAGTTAACACTTAAAAAAAACATACATATATATGTGTGTGCATGTGTATATATATTATAAGAAAATTAAGTTATAAACTAACGATCATTATAGTTTACTAAAATTCATTTCTGTATCAATTAACTATTTGTTTTGTAGGTCAATTATTAATGATATGAAAAAAATTCAAACTCATAATAGGCATATGAATATTTTATATGAATCGTCGTTTGAAAAAATTTGGCACAAGAAATAGTTTGGAATTAAGCTTTATACAAAATTTTAACTTGGGCAAAATAAAATTAATATGCGTATTATAAACTTTTCTATTCTCATAGATGTTTTTTTTTGTTTTGATAAAAATAAAACCTTGTTTCTTATCATCAACTAGAGGATATTATTCAATTATCATGTACACTTGTTTTTATATATAGCTTAAAATTGATATGATTCTTTTATTAAAGAATGAATGAATAGAAAATAAATGTATTAGTAAAACAATATATCAGTATCACATTTCTAAATAATCTGCTGATACCAACTCATATTGCACTAATTATTATTAATAATAAATAATTCAAACTTTGAATAATATTAGTTTATAATTATTTTATTTCTGTAAAGATTTAAATTCCTGTAGAAATGTAAACAACTAGGAACTGATATGATGAACTAGTGTTTCTTCAGATATCTTCGTATAAATATGATATAAAATTTAAATTTTAGATGCATTTTGGAAAATCAGTGTTTTTCAATCAGTAAGATTATTATCGAGTATCAAATTATTTCGAATCAAGTAATATTGTATTATTATCTACTATGGATTGAGTAGAGCATTATTTTTTATTACTCCTTCAAGTGCAATTTGACATAATTGACAATTGTTTGCTTAAATCAAGTAAAATAAAGAATAGATAAATCGCCTATCAGCACTATTATTGATATATCACCGCTTTTAAATACAAAAATGCATAAACTCATTCATTTAAACACTGTACCAGTTTTTATCAGAAATGATTGAATTTATATAAAATGATTAGTTTAAACCGTTGTTTCCTTGGAGTATTAATCACTATGATAAAATTCGAATAGCAATTTTATATTTAAATGATTAGAATAATATAAATTCATTATATATAATGAATTATGTGTTTATATTAATATAATTTTTTTCATTTTTTTGTCATTGGCAAAATTGTTAAGAACAACTAAAAATCTTATTTTACTTGCAGATGACATCATTCAAGTGTAATCTAAACATTATCATATAAAAATATTACCTATTTGATCCATTGGTTATTATCAACACTATTAACAAATTTAAATAACGCTACGTTTAATGAGAACTTGGTTTCAGTCAGCAGATCCTTAAATTCCAAATATTTAGAATATTTACTAATAAATTAAAATACATCCTGAGCAACAATAAATAGGAGCTTATAATTTTTAATTTTTTTATACTTTTTATCATAGATAAATTATATCTAGAATATTTATAAATCTACGTTTATTTATCACTAATTTCAAAATCAATGACTTATTCGATATCATTACTAATGATAACGGTCATTATTAAATTGAGTTTGGAAAATGACATTAAATATTGTATTCGTATATATGTATGCGATGCTAATTATAGAATAGTTTATTTAATAGCCTTAGGTTCTACGCAGAAAGTATTCTGAAATGAATACTTTAAATTTATAAGTTTATCCCAGTTGTTACAATCGAAATATTTTTTTACTGCAAAATAGCTTACAAACATTTGAGCGAGTACAGAAATTTGGCTATTTCGCAACATTATAGCAATAATGACATTGTCTAATGTCATTTATGACATTATCATGACATCCCATACAATCAAAATCTATTTATGAAAAGCATATGTCATATAACCATCTGCCGGTAAGAGCTCAAATTTTTAGTATCTTTTACATAATTGGATGATACATTGGATCACATACAGACATAATTCAAAGTATACTAAATCTACATTTTAGTATCATGCAGAAGTGAATCTAAATATCATCGTTTTATTTATATGATATAAAAGAAACAAAGCATATTCCACATATTCTTGTTCTATTTTTCCTCAGTTTCCTCTTATATCTTTTGTAGTTATCTGTTTAATATTCGAGAAAAATATATTAAAATTGTATTTTTTTACTTTTTTTTTTTCATTTTGCTTCATAAAATTATTAATTGTTATTGCATCCTTAAATTACCTTATTGTCTGAGATCAGACTAAAAACGCTTCCCTGAGATCGTGAAGGGAGGCTTGCTGGCAAGTGGAATGGACAATGCAATAATTCAATACTGCTTTTATACGAGTTGATTTTTCCTTCTATTGAATATAAAAAATAATGAATAGTTAATATCTATGAATATCGAATAAGTGTATGATAGAATAAATAAGTGAGAGTTTCTTCAGGTAATATGAGTGATGATAATCTTATAAGTGTATTCTTGTCGTATGGTGCGTGATTGACGCCACCGATTGCCTATACCGATGAGCTGGAGAGGCCTGTGTGGGGCGCTGGTGTATGACGTCACTGTTGAGAATTGATGCCGCCGTTGCCGCTACCGATGAGTTGGAGAGGCTTGAGAGGGGCGCTGGTGTATGACATCACTGATGAATGGCAATGATGCCTTGGTTTTGGTATTGCTGCTTACTTAGTTCACGGAGTCGTGTTTTAATGATTCGTAAGAACATGTGTAATAGCGTAGCTTACGTGTGTGGAGTCGATTTCAGTTGTATTGGTGGTACGTAAGGACGTGTGTAATAGCGCAGCTTACGTGTGTGGAGTCGCTTTCAGTTGTTTTGATGGTACGTAAGTACGTGTGTAATACTGTAACTTACGTGTGTGGAGTCAATCTCAGTTGTACTGATGGTAACCTCTATATAAGTAGTATTTGACTTGTAAGAAAATGATTGTTTTCTTTTTTTTTTCTTTTCTTAGATTTTTTCTGTGTAAATGGCGTTAACTTGTAGAATAAGAATTTGATCTTGATGATTGCTTGATTGAACTAGTAAGAGGATGAGACCGTCATATGCAGCTCCTTAAATATTCTTGTATAAACAAGCTGCGTTGAAATTGTATAGGTGATCGTTGCTATGCCGATATTTGTCGTGACATCAACAGGGCATAGACTCGTAGAGTTCATTTGTTATTACATTTGGAATTATAGTAGTATATTCGAGTTTTTCTGTTATAAGCATTCTTTGAGTCCGTTAGTCAGTGTTTACAAAACAAATGCTCGCGCGCTCATACCTCTCCCACTTTTTATTTTGCTTAGAAATTACTGCAATCCGTAACACATATTAAAACTACCAGTTTTCAGGTTCAGTTTTATAATCGCGATTCCACATATTCTTGTTCTATTTTTCCCTTATGTTTCAATATTTTCATATTTTTGTTGTATTGAGTTTAGTATTTAAGAAAAATATATTGAAATCATATATCTTTTTTTTTTATATCTATACATTATCTTAGTTTACTAGAACATAAACTCAACTGAAAATTAGTTTTATTAAGTTGTACTTCATATCTATTTCTTATCATGTATTTAAAGAGTTATATCAAAGTTCTTCTCTTACAGTTCCATATTACATGTTTATTCTTTTATTTTTTATTTATAAAACTATAAGCATCAATTTTCTTTAGTAAATGATTGTATTCAAAATTTTAGATGTTTAAAAATAGTGTACCGGGCGAGGAGGGCCAAGTAACTAAGATTAGATGTGAGCTCCCCATGTTGATAGGAGGATTGCAGGCTAGTGGACAAGATAGTACATGTATTCAATAAAGAGTAGTTTTGTTATTTAGTTTGTTTTACTTATGATTGCACTAATTGAATTATAATTAGTTGTATAATTGATTTTTGCTTTTCTTGATTTGTACGTTTATTGCCACTGAGCTACCGCGTAAGTCGCATACACAGAAAGAAGTTGATGCCTTGCTGGTCCTCTATATGTAACACACGTGTAGATAAAATAATACACACAGAAGAGGGAGGTCGTAAACCCCCGCACTTCCTTGTATATGAGCACGTGGCGTCGCTTGAATTGCTTGTATTATGTTTTGCAGATAGCTTTACGTGTCTGCAGATTGGCGTGTATAGCTTGATATAGTTATGTATTAATTAGGAATGAAACGTTACCTCGTAAGTCTGCACGTTGTGTATAGCCATGTTTTGTCTTGTTCTTTGAGTTTCCTCGTATGGCTCCTTGCAGTTTGATTGTGTATACTATGCGGACTGATATTCGTAGTTCTCGATTCCCTATTTTTACTTGTATCGCACTGCTGCGAGTGTATGATTTGATTATCTAGTACTTGTGTTGAATAGATTAACCTTGTGTAAGTAACTTGGACTTTTGAATTGTTTGACTGCGTTTAATTGACTTGTTCTTTTTCTGATAGATAAGATAAGATTAGTGATTGTGCCGTGCCGACGTGGCTTTTTTTAAAGCCTTCTCTCGACCACGCGGTGGTCAGTGAGAATTCCCACTCTATTGGTGTCGCTAATCAGAGCTGTCTTGTCGATCATGGCGTTGCCAATGAGATTTAGTCTTATTAGTGTGCCCAATCAGAATTCTTCTTTAGTTTATGGTAATTCTAATCACGGCGCCTTTCGAGTGGTGGGGTCTCCCACCAGTGAGTCTTTCCAAGATGGAGGCTCCAATGAGAGCGGGTCTTGCTCAACTCCCTTCCTTGATGGGGGGTCTTGATGCCGCGCTTTTCTCTCTCCATCCTAGCATTGTCGCATGCATTTCTTATAATCATACGCGTTGCGATCGGTCAGTGTTGTGAAGGTTAGGTGTAGGATTGTTTTTGAGTGTATCATCTGGCTTGTGTCATCGATAGATGCTTTATGGCGAGGCCGTGTCAAATGTCTCGTAGCATTAGTTTTATGACTTGTTTTGCTGGACACTTGGAGCCTTGTTCTCGTCAGATGTGTTTATGAAGTTTATTTTCTTAAGATATTCGAAGTTTTGCTGAATTGTTTAGATTTAGTTAATCCGAGGTGCGTTTTGAATGTTATTACTCGCGTAGCCCAGAGTTGCTTTTTTCGGAACTCTTATTTTGATTTTTCCAGATGTTTAATCAGCTGGGAGGTTTCTTACATTCTTGAACATTACACAACTCTAATCCAATGACGTATATAGGAATTTTACGATCATTAAATTCATGTATTATTCATCTTAGAATTTAATTTCTGCAATATATCGTAAATAATCCGATTGTCCAGATGGATAGGTGATATAAATAACTATTTTAATAATGCTGTAGCTTATCTCTATTGCAAACTAATTATAATACATCAGTAAAGATCATATACTCAATGAAGTAAATTAACCTTAACGATAGCTTATTGTGTAGAGTAGGTGTTCTGCATGTCAAACCAACATTAATTCAATCTATCTATTACATGTATTACATTTTATAAACAATATAATAAAAAATTGGTTATAATTAAAATGAACTACATGCGATTAATATTATTAGTATTGTCAGATTATATAAAATCATACTTTATAAACAAAATTTTAATGAAATACTTATATATTCGCAGTTGTATTTTGAAATTCATTAAGCTTTGAAACAAATTTTATTTAAATTTATATATGTACGAATAAAGATAATCTTAATACATATGAAATTATTATTACAGACCAGAGCTGCACTCATTGTCATATGATGATGTTGATTGACATTTTATTGTTACGCATATATCATTACGAGTCCTAATATTACAGTGACTGCAGTTGTAATATTGGATTGAATTATTTTGCTTTTCTTGATTGTGGTGCAAATACATTGAATGCTGTAAAATATTATTTTTGAAGTTCTTTAATTGAGCAATGGAATTGCAGTAAGTAAAATCATGGATTTATAATTTAGTACCTAAAAAATGAAAAAATTCTTTGATAAATATTTGCATTGAAAAATACAATTTATTTTATACACAAATACACATTTATTTTTTAGATTTATAAATCATATTTAGTTACATAGCATATATTTCAAAGATATCAATAAATATGTAAGGAAAAATTAATATTAAACTTAAAAATAACATTTTATTAAAAATAAAATTAATTAGATGATTTTCTTTTCGATTCCTAATTTAGTATCTTAATAAAATTATAATTCTTCTATTTCATAAAATTATTATCACAAAGCTTATTGTATATTTTAAATAATCATTGAATTCTTATACTAAATAGTTTTTAAATAGAGAATTTATGTTTTTACATACTTTGTCTATTGATACTTTTATAAAAATTTATTAAAATTTTAAATACTATTTTTATCATTTATAATCCCAATTATTTATCCCAATAACCGTTTTAATACATTCTTTGATTAATATTAATTAGTTAAAGATTTTTCTTAAAAAAATAAGTTGTTTTTCATAGTTTATTTAAATTAAATAACATTTTCTAATTTTTAAAGTATTTAGCATAATATAAAAGTTAATGTATTATAGATAAATATTATTTAATCTTTACACCCATAAAGTGTAAAGTAAATTTTTCAATTTTTATATTCAAAATTTTAAAACTCGATAACAAAATTTTTTTAATAATATGCGTTACATTAAATTACATAAGATTTAGAACCTATTTGAGAAAATGGTAATTGTCAAATTCGTTAGATTATTCATTAGTATTTTGTATTTCAATTCATTCAAATAAATTATTAATTATTCATTGGTAATTTATATTTCATCTGGTTAACATAGACTGATATAAATTTAATGCCTTACTAATTTCGAGAATAGATATTTTTTATCGTTGTTGTAAATTATTTGGATCTCAATTCACTAATATTTTATCAACGATTAATTTTATTTCATTTTCTATTATCATTTTTTAGTTATGCATGTACAAAAATTTTGATTTCAACGAAAACAATTTAGGAATTTGAGTATTATTTCGTAACAAAACTATATTACTACATAATATTGCTTTATAACATTATTTAAAGTGACAAATTTTTATGTTAAATATATATTAAAATACATTATTTAAAGTATTTTATTAATTATTAGATACATCATTAATATAATCTTCAATTCAAATCAAGTATCAATTTAAAATAAAAATCTGTCTTTAATAGCAAATTTTAGAATTGGATTAAATTCCGTATTCATTTTACAAATTGTAAATTTCTACTAAAATCGCCTTTGTTCAAGTTATTACTAAAATTAATTATTTATGAATAATTACATTTTTTATATTTTTCTTAGGTTTCGTAATTCATTAATAAAATCAGTATTACCAAATCATTTTTCAATATTGTCATTGTTCGATTATTAAACGGTTGTTTTATGGCTCGAAATGCTAATTCAATAGTTCCGTGGATTGGTCTCTCGTCATGATGGCTGTTGAGGAAATAACAAGTGGAAGGGCTGAAATTAAGTACAATATATATTTATTGTGTTAAGATATCGTTTATTTTTGTTGTCGATTATTATAATATTGCAGTTGTGACTGCAGTTTGGACTGGTGAGGTTATTTCTTCAGAGTAATGGTAATGTCGTTAATACAATGGAGATTACTGTGAATCTTGAATGTCGGTTTTATGCTGACGTTATGCTCATGAATGAGCATGAGAAGATGGTGATTGGAATCAAGTATGCTTGGTAGAAAGAATGATCATACTTGATTGAGGATAAAAAACGTCTTGATGAAAATTGGTATGTAATCAATTATGTCTTTACTTATGATAAGAGCAGTTGCAAACTAGTCAAACGCAAGAATCATAAATGACGAGCCTTCGAGATCTGAAGGACTTGATGAAAATATATTTATAGTCGATTATTCTATAATATTAACGTGTTAATTCGAGAGAGCGTACTCTTCCCCCTATCGACTGTTTGAGGGACTGCACGGCCTTCGAAATGTTAGTTCGAGAGAGCGTACGCTTTCCCCTATCGACTCTTTGAAGAGAAGTTTTATGAAACTTGATTTGCACGTGTGCGACTAGTTTATTTAAAAATAATATAAAGAGATGTACTTTGTAAACTACCGACAAGGTATGTTGATTTGCTGCGTGGTTGGTGTACCCCTTTTTGATTACGATTCCATTGGCTTCACTGTTAAATCACTACTTGTGCTTGCTGACTTTTTAATATGCACATGTATCTTTAGGTTGGTTGCCGAACATGTGGCCACGTGTCGTAGTCGCAGTATATATTAAAATACACTTAGTAGTAATATCAGAAGAGTAAGCGAGAGGTAGAATTACAATGAGCCTATAAGCCTTTTGAATACGCGCACAAAAACCGAAGGCTTGATCATTCCTTGGCGGCTCTGCTGAAAATACTGACCGTTCCATGGCGGTTCTACTGCGGGCAGATCGAGACCCGTGCCATGGCTTCTACTGGTAGAGGATTAGATCGGTTCAATGCGGCTGGGTCACAGTCATTAAGTGTCCAGAGATTCGAAAATTTTTTATTCTCCGTAAAAATATCCGCCAGCAAGCGTATCACGCCAAGAAGATCCAGAGATTTACGACCTCCTACCACTACATGTTCCATCTTGGAAAGACTCACTGGTGGGAGATCCCACCACTAGAAAGGCGCCGTGATTCGAATTACCATAAACTAAAGAAGAATTCTAATTGGGCACACTAATAAGACTAAATCTCATTGGCAACGTCATGATCAACAAGACAGCTCTGATTGGCGACACCAAAAGAGAGGGAATGCTCACCGACCACTGCGTGGTCGAGAGAAGGCTTTAAAAAAAGCCACGTCGGCACGGCACAATCACTAATCTTATCTTATCTATCAGAAAAAGAACAAGTCAATTAAACGCAGTCAAACAATTCAAAAGTCCAAGTTACTTACACAAGGTTAATCTATTCAACACAAGTACTAGATAATCAAATCATACACTCGCAGCAGTGCGATACAAGTAAAAATAGGGAATCGAGAACTACGAATATCAGTCCGCATAGTATACACAATCAAACTGCAAGGAGCCATACGAGGAAACTCAAAGAACAAGACAAAACATGGCTATACACAACGTGCAGACTTACGAGGTAACGTTTCATTCCTAATTAATACATAACTATATCAAGCTATACACGCCAATCTGCAGACACGTAAAGCTATCTGCAAAACATAATACAAGCAATTCAAGCGACGCCACGTGCTCATATACAAGGAAGTGCGGGGGTTTACGACCTCCCTCTTCTGTGTGTATTATTTTATCTACACGTGTGTTACATATAGAGGACCAGCAAGGCATCAACTTCTTTCTGTGTATGCGACTTACGCGGTAGCTCAGTGGCAATAAACGTACAAATCAAGAAAAGCAAAAATCAATTATACAACTAATTATAATTCAATTAGTGCAATCATAAGTAAAACAAACTAAATAACAAAACTACTCTTTATTGAATACATGTACTATCTTGTCCACTAGCCTGCAATCCTCCTATCAACATGGGGAGCTCACATCTAATCTTAGTTACTTGGCCCTCCTCGCCCGGTACACTATTTTTAAACAATTATTGATTGAATAGCACGGTATGATATTAGGAAGTAGCAGCGCATTTTATATTATTATAACATTTAACAGTTTATTTCATTACTTAATTTTATGAAAAGATATAAATATTGCATCATGTAAAAAATAGTTATGAATTTTTATTAATTTTAATTTTTATAAAATTATGTAATAAAATGATATATACTAATATTAAAGTAAATAAAAAAAAATTCTTTAAAAAATCCTATTTTATTATATTATAATATATTAAAACATCAATGTCAAAATATTAACAAAGCAAGTAAAAAACACAATTTATTGTTTTATAAACATATTTTGGGTAATGAATGATGTTATAAAATGCCACCATAAACGTATTTAATAATAAATATAATTTGTTCGTGCTCATAAAGTAATATATTAATTTTACGATTAAATTTATATTATAAATCGAAACTTCTAAATTTTGCTTTGAATAAAATTTCAAAAAAAAATTATGAGTATTTTAAAAATTAATTCTATTTCTTGAAATTATTTCAATTTAATCAATATACATCGATTATTTTATATTGCATAAATAATGTTTCTTTTTTTCATCGCGTTCATTATTTCATTAAATGTTGTATTGGTTGAAAATACAATATGGTCATGTGCCGAACTTTGTAATAGTAAGATATTTATTTATTATTATTATATAATATTATAAAACTTATTATTAAAAAAAATATTTAAATAATGTTTACGTTCCTTATAAGTGGAATTAAAATTTATATTTCTTTGATATTTATATAATATTAAATTGTTTTATCAATAATTTATTTTTAAAAATAATTTAAATATAAAATTTTATGATTGATTATTAACATATATTTATCATATATAAAGTTATATAACAAAGGTTAAATATATTAACATATATTTAATGCTTGTAACAAAGGTTATATAACTTTATATGATATTTTATTATTATATATCAACATGTATAGATTATTCGAATCAATACAAAATTATGTATTCTAGTTGAACAGTACAAATTAATGATAAAAATGATACTCTGTAAAATTTATTTACTTATTTATAAGCATATATGAATTATTTATATGCTTATTTGTAAGCATTGATATGAAAAAGTTCAGTGATAATTTAATTTATATAAATTGTCAAGTACTTCATATATGATAATATTAATCCAATTTGTACATTAAATTTTAATTTGTGTATATGAGAATAAGATGTATTTATAGAGTAGGGGATGAAGTGATTAAATCAGGATTGGAAGTGTCTCGTATATGTAGACTATATGAACATTTAAATTTATTTTACACAATTATTTTAATTGCGATTTACAATTTTCCATAAAAAATCGCCTGTAATTTGAAATTATGGTGAATTTAATAA